TCAAGGGGTGCATTTTGGAGGGCATTGATGTAAAGAGGAATTAAAAGTTTACCAAGAATGCTGGGGCCGGGGACACTCCTTTGTTGATATTTTTGGGGTTTAAGAGGTAGTCTAAATTAATTGCATGGAAATTTTTCAGTGTAAAAAACCCTTTCTTAATCCCTAGGGCCACTGGATATTCATTTTTTTCTAGAGCTGAATTGGGAGAGTCAGCATCGGGAAATCCCGAGTGTTTATTCAGGTATCACAAATACAAATTACTAGATTATCATACAAAACAGCCCTTTCGTGTAGTAACCCAGGATAACCCAAAAAAGCCAAAACAATGTTTTTTTTGGGGGTCTGAAGTTTAAATTTGGGAGAGGTTAAGAAAAACAGTGGTACCTTTTAAAAATGAACAGCTCAAAATGTGAACAATTTTGGGAAAATGTATTTATTAAAATGGCTTTTGTAAGTGGGATTTTTGGGGGGATGAACAAAAAATCTAATTTTCAAATTTTTCCCTTTTTGGGGAAAAAATGCGTTTTGGGAACAAAAACTCCCCAAACCAAACCTTTTTGGAAGAAAAGTTTGTATCCCGAGGTACCACTGTATTTAGTTTAGTACTAAATGCACATGTTCATTTATACATCGCCCTTTCAAAGATTTTTAGAGAATAATGACAAGTTAGAGATTGTTCGGTAGTTGTTGATTTCAGATGGTTTTCACCTTTGTGGATTTCTTTAACAGGTGAACACTTAAGTATATTAGGAATAGTTTTGGTTTACCTGGAGTTTACCTGGAGAGAGTTCCGGGGGTCAACGCCCCCGCTGCCCGGTCTGTGACCAGGCCTCCTGGTGGATCAGAGCCTGATCAACCAGGCTGTTACTGCTGGCTGCGCGCAAACCAACGTACGAGCCACAGCCCGGCTGGTCAGGAACCGACTTCAGGTGCTTGTCCAGTGCCAGCTTGAAGACTGCCAGGGGTCTGTTGGTAATCCCCCTTATGTATGCTGGGAGGCAGTTGAACAGTCTCGGGCCCATGACACTTATTGTATGGTCTCTTAATGTGCTAGTGACACCCCTGCTTTTCATTGGGGGGATGTTGCATCGTCTGCCAAGTCTTTTGCTTTCGTAGTGAGTGATTTTCGTGTGCAAGTTCGGTACTAGTCCCTCTAGGATTTTCCAGGTGTATGTAATCATGTATCTCTCCCGCCTGCATTCCAGGGAATACAGGTTTAGGAACCTCAAGCGCTCCCAGTAATTGAGGTGTTTTATCTACGTTATGCGCGCCATGAAGGTTCTCTGTACATTTTCTAGGTCAGCAATTTTACCTGCCTTGAAAGGTGCTGTTAGTGTGCAGCAATATTCCAGCCTAGATAGAACAAGTGACCTGAAGAGTGTCATCATGGGCTTGGCCTCCCTAGTTTTGAAGGTTCTCATTATCCATCCTGTCATTTTTCTAGCAGATGCGATTGATACAATGTTATGGTCCTTGAAGGTGAGATCCTCCGACATGATCACTCCCAGGTCTTTGACGTTGGTGTTTCGCTCTATTTTGTGGCCAGAATTTGTTTTGTACTCTGATGAAGATTTAATTTCCTCGTGTTTACCATATGAGAGTAATTGAAATTTCTCATCGTTGAACTTCATATTGTTTTCTGCAGCCCACTGAAAGATTTGGTTGATGTCTGCCTGGAGCCTTGCAGTGTCTGCAATGGAAGACACTGTCATGCAGATTCGGGTGTCATCTGCAAAGGAAGACACGGTGCTGTGGCTGACATCCTTGTCTATGTCGGATATGAGGATGAGGAACAAGATGGGAGCGAGTACTGTGCTTTGTGGAACAGGGCTTTTCACCGTAGCTGCCTCGGACTTTACTCTGTTGACGACTACTCTCTGTGTTCTGTTAGTGAGGAAATTATAGATCCATCGACCGACTTTTCCTGTTAATCCTTTAGCACGCATTTTATGTGCTATTACGCCATGGTCACACTTGTTGAAGGCTTTTGCAAAGTCTGTATATATTACATCTGCATTCTTTTTGTCTTCTAGTGCATCTAGGACCTTGTCGTAGTGATCCAATAGTTGAGACAGACAGGAGCGACCTGTTCTAAACCCATGTTGCCCTGGGTTGTGTAACTGATGGGTTTCTGATGGGTGGTGATTTTGTTTCTTAGGACCCTTTCAAAGATTTTATGAATGGGAGTTAGGCTATCGGTTGTGTTTTTGCTTTTGTTTTAAACTGCCCCCTTTGTGGAGTGGGGCTATGTCGTTTTTTTTTAAACTGTGGGACGACCCCCGTGTCCAGCTCCGTCTCCAATAAATGGAAAAGGTCGTGATAGGGGCTTCTTGCAGTTTTGATGAACAAGGATTTTCCCTGAGTTTGGCCCCGGGGCAGAGTGCAGAGCATGTCATTTATCGCCCGTTCGAATCTTTGGGGGTCGGTAAACGGATGGCTTGGTTAAGCAAATTCTGTGGCTCTCATAAAAAATTCATTTTGATCTTCGACTCTGTCTGGTTAGCGGCTTGCTAAAAACTGAGTTATATTGGGACTTGAGTAGCTCACTCATATCCTTGCTGTCATCTGTGTAGGACCCATCTTGTTTAAGTAGGGGCCCAATACTGGACGTTGTTCTTGACTTTGATTTGGCATAGGAGAAGAAATACTTTGGCTCTTTCGATTTCATTTATGGCTTTTAGTTCTTCCCGCGATTCCTGACTCCTATAAGATTCCTTTAGCTTAAGTTCGATGCTTGCTATTTCTCTGACCAGTGTCTCCCTACACATTTCAGATATATTGACCTCTTTTAGCCGCTCTGTTATTCTTTTCCGTCGCCTGTAAAGGGAGCGCCTGTCTCTTTCTATTTTACATCTACTCCTCCTTTTTCTTAGAGGAATAAGCCTTGTGCATACATCGAGTGCCACCAAGTTAATCTGTTCTAGGCATAAGTTGGGGTCTGTGTTGCTTAGTATATCTTCCCAGCTTATATCGGTTAGGACTTGGTTTACTTGGTCCCACTTTATGTTTTTGTTATTGAAGTTGAATTTGGTGAATGCTCCCTCGTGACTAATCTCATTATGTCGGTCTGGGGCTCCACGCATACATGTCTGAACCTCAATTATGTTGTGATCTGAGTATATTGTTTTTGATATGGTGACATTTTTTATCAGATCATCATTGTTAGTGAAGATGAGGTCTAGTGTTTTCTCCAGTCTAGTAGGCTCTATTATTTGCTGGTTTAAATTGAATTTTGTGCAGAGATTTAAAAGCTCGTGTGAGTGTGAGTTTTCATCAGAGCTGCCTCCTGGTGTTATTACTGCAACAATATTATTTGCTATATTCCTCCATTTTAGGTGCCTTAAGTTGAAATCCCCCAGGAGCAAGATGTTGGGTGCAGGAGCTGGAAGATTTTCCAGAGATTATTTAAATAAAGTTGCAATAACAGGTGGTAGCCCATGGGCTACTTGTATGTGAGCAGTGGTATTCTCGCTTTATTACCCATACATTTATTATTGAAGTTATCTCGGTTGAACATGTTGGGGACAGGTAGAGGGAGCCATGATAACTTTCACTGAGGTAATCACTAAATTGAGCATTAGAGTTGGAGGATTTTATAATTGAGAAGAAGTTAAGTTTATTTGCTGTATCAGCAATTCAATTAGGGGCTTCATTTGATCTGGTCAGTGTAATTTCTCTGGTTTTAGCAATTTTGCTTGAGCCCAGTACTTTATCTCTTGGAACCTATTGGCATAATATAGTTTAGATTTTTTTTATAAACTTGATAAGTGGGAATTAATTAACCCTTTGAGGGTCGACAAGCCCTCTCCGAGACTCGTTCTCAGGGTTGGCCAAATTTAAAAAAAAAAAAAAAAAAAATTCTTATGAAAAGATAGAGAATCTTTCCCGATCATAATGACACCAAAAGTATGAAATTTGATGGAAAACTTACGGAATTATGCTCTCGCAAAGTTAGCAGTCTCGGCGATGTTTACGCATCTGCGATTTTGCCCACTTTCAGCCTCATTTTCGGCCAATTCCACTGTACTAGTCGACAAAAAACATGAATATTTCGCTAAAACTCCATTTTTTCTATCGAATGAGTGCTAGAAACCACCCGTTTATCAATTTCAATTATCCAGTACAGTGGTCAGAATTTAGCAATTTTGCCAATTTCACACAAATTTCCAAAGATGCCAATTTCCGAATAGGGTCCAGAATAAACAAGAAAGACATTCCTGGCACTAAAATGACATTTCATCTGTTCATTAGTCACGTCTCAAGGCCCCTCTTACATTCTTTTGCTTTCCACTTTGAATTTTTATTCTCACAAAAAATAGAAGATTTACTGTTATGCAGACTACTGCATTAGTGTAAAAAATGGTATAAATAATATTGGTGCACTTGCAAAAGAATATTAGACTCACCAGTTGACGTGTATTAGACACTTGGCATGATTTGTTTACTTTTGAACTTTGGTAAAAATCGAACATTTCTGCTACTTTGAGCTCAATTTCAAGGTACTTTTCATTGTAAAACCAGTCAAAATCATCTCAATTTCTGTAATATGTCTTCCATTCTATAAAATGAGACCAAGAAAACTAGAATACAACAATAAATGCCATACGTAAATACAGTGCAAAGTCGTTGTTTTATTCCAAAAAAAACGGTCAGTTTTTTTTTTTCTCATTACACAGTGTGTGCTGCAGGATTTTTTTTATACTGTGCACACTGACCACATAGACCCATTCTTTCATATGTATGCCTACCAGCTTTCTCCCACTAGATTTGAGGGCGCTAGAATTTAGGCGTACTAGTACGTCAAAAACCCTGGGCCGTAAGCCGTACTAGTACGGCCGAAACCCTCAAAGGGTTAGGCCTATTTTATATTTATTCATAGGTATGCTTCTTATCATTGGATCTATAAGTGTCAATATGTGTAACTTGGTGATTGTAAGCTGTGAATCTTGTACAGTTTTATAAAGAGATTCTGTTATTAATCATTACCTCTTGTCTTGTAGGGCTGCAGCATGAAGGCTCCAGATCTTTTCCGTGCCAACTGGCTCCATCCCTGGCAAGCCCCTGAGACACTGAGTGAACAAATGGTCTCCATACGCTCAGAAATCTATTCTTTCACCGCAGTTATGTGGGAGATTTGGTCAGGTGAGGTTACATTACTGGAATATTGCTTGCATTTGTATGTACAGTATATTAGATTTTCAGCATCACTTTAATGAAACTATATTTTTCCAAAAAATTATTTGTTAAAGTTTATTTGATTTTTTTGTACTGTATAAAAATTGATATTTTCAAAATGTTAGTAAAATATACAGTGGAACCTTGACTTGCAAGTGTCCCAACTTAGGAGTTTTTTGAGATACAAGCCATCCCTGGGTCGATTTTTTGCTCTGAGTTACGAGCCAGCTCCCCCCTCCCTCTTTCCCCCCCAACCCAAAACCTGGACACCTTGCTTGTTTATCTACGATTTCATGCTTTAATTCCATGGAGATCATTCTCTTTTTCTTCTCAGCAATAATAATAATATAATGGATTTGTCAGTTAAAAATAGGAGAGGAGAGTTATTAAATGGAGAGTTAGAGGTATTGGGAAGATGGAGGGAATATTTTGAAGAATTGTTAAATGTTGATGAAGATAGGGAAGCTGTGATTTCGTGTATAGGGCAAGGAGGAATAACATTTTGTAGGAGTGAGGAAGAGCCAGTTGTGAGTGTGGGGGAAGTTCGTGAGGCAGTAGGCAAAATGAAAGGGGGTAAGGCAGCCGGGATTGATGGGATAAAGATAGAAATGTTAAAAGCAGGTGGGGATATAGTTTTGGAGTGGTTGGTGCAATTATTTAATAAATGTATGGAAGAGGGTAAGGTACCTAGGGATTGGCAGAGAGCATGCATAGTTCCTTTGTATAAAGGCAAAGGGGATAAAAGAGAGTGCAAAAATTATAGGGGGATAAGTCTGTTGAGTGTACCTGGTAAAGTGTATGGTAGAGTTATAATTGAAAGAATTAAGAGTAAGACGGAGAATAGGATAGCAGATGAACAAGGAGGCTTTAGGAAAGGTAGGGGGTGTGTGGACCAGGTGTTTACAGTGAAACATATAAGTGAACAGTATTTAGATAAGGCTAAAGAGGTCTTTGTGGCATTTATGGATTTGGAAAAGGCGTATGACAGGTGGATAGGGGGGCAATGTGGCAGATGTTGCAAGTGTATGGTGTAGGAGGTAGGTTACTGAAAGCAGTGAAGAGTTTTTACGAGGATAGTGAGGCTCAAGTTAGAGTATGTAGGAAAGAGGGAAATTTTTTCCCAGTAAAAGTAGGCCTTAGACAAGGATGTGTGATGTCACCGTGGTTGTTTAATATATTATAGATGGGGTTGTAAGAGAAGTAAATGCGAGGGTCCTGGCAAGAGGCGTGGAGTTAAAAGATAAAGAATCACACATAAAGTGGGAGTTGTCACAGCTGCTCTTTGCTGATGACACTGTGCTCTTGGGAGATTCTGAAGAGAAGTTGCAGAGATTGGTGGATGAATTTGGTAGGGTGTGCAAAAGAAGAAAATTAAAGGTGAATACAGGAAAGAGTAAGGTTATGAGGATAACAAAAAGATTAGGTGATGAAAGATTGAATATCAGATTGGAGGGAGAGAGTATGGAGGAGGTGAACGTATTCAGATATTTGGGAGTGGACGTGTCAGCGGATGGGTCTATGAAAGATGAGGTGAATCATAGAATTGATGAGGGAAAAAGAGTGAGTGGTGCACTTAGGAGTCTGTGGAGACAAAGAACTTTGTCCTTGGAGGCAAAGAGGGGAATGTATGGAGGCAGTGGAGATGTCATGTCTGAGGGCAATGTGTGGTGTGAATATAATGCAGAGAATTCGTAGTTTGGAAGTTAGGAGGAGGTGCGAGATTACCAAAACTGTTGTCCAGAGGGCTGAGGAAGGGTTGTTGAGGTGGTTCGGACATGTAGAGAGAATGGAGCGAAACAGAATGACTTCAAGAGTGTATCAGTCTGTAGTGGAAGGAAGGCGGGGTAGGGGTCGGCCTAGGAAAGGTTGGAGGGAGGGGGTAAAGGAGGTTTTGTGTGCGAGGGGCTTGGACTTCCAGGAGGCATGCATGAGCGTGTTTGATAGGAGTGAATGGAGACAAATGGTTTTTAATACTTGACGTGCTGTTGGAGTGTGAGCAAAGTAACATTTATGAAGGGATTCAGGGAAACCGGCAGGCCGGACTTGAGTCCTGGAGATGGGAAGTACAGTGCCTGCACTCTGAAGGAGGGGTGTTAATGTTACAGTTTAAAAACTGTAGTGTAAAGCACCCTTCTGGCAAGACAGTGATGGAGTGAATGATGGTGAAAGTTTTTCTTTTTCGGGCCACCCTGCCTTGGTGGGAATCGGCCAGTGTGATAATAAAAAAAAAATTATTATTACAGTCAAGTCACTCGGTAAGTCAGTCAAGTCATTCAGTAAGTCAGTCAACTCACTCAGTTAGTCAGTCAGGTCACTCAATTAGTTAGTCAAGTCATTCAGTAAGTCAAGTCATGGGAAGATACTATAGTCAAATTGGGACAGATATGGTGACGCTTTTGCCGCTGCCTCTGCCACCATATTATGGCCTATTTTATTCATTCTAGAGTATATATCATGTTTCTGTACTAATTATATTGTTTATTATGTCATATTAGATGAATTGTGATAGATAAATAAGCCGTACAGTTGATAATAGCATCATATTCAAGTATTTTTTCTTGTCTCCAGAGTGCAGGAACGAATTAATGGCTTTTCAGCTAATTTAAATGAGGAAAATTAATTTGATATACAAGTAAATTGAGTTACGAGCTAGCTCCTGGAATGGATTAAACTCAAGTCAAGGTTCCACTGTACTACATAATCTATGTATATTCTGCACAAAATCAAATAGGTTTAATAATATCAGTCATTTAAGTCTATCTTGTTTTATTTTTAATATTCATGACTAATGATTCTAGTTGACTGGAAGTTGTGTGTGAAGTGGGCAGATTTACTTTGGCAAAAGCATACAATACTTGATTATTGAGACACTTATGCAGCATGTGGGAATCTTTATTCAGGAAACGTTTCGCCACACAGTGGCTTCATCAGTCCAATACAAAGAGGAAGGCGTAAGGAGAGGAGGAGTATGAGGTAATCAGTCCCTCAGCCTGGAGTCGATGTGTTCAGTCCATCAATCTTGTAGAATGTACAGCATAGGGCCGTAGACGTGGCTTATATACTGTAGTGAGGTGACTTGAAGCAGACGGAGGCGGGATCATAGTGGTACCATCCACTAGTCGAAGTAGGTCTTTGTCCAAAGGTTGAACAAGCGTTGAAGAATTCTTTGTAAGAAGATCCCATGATGCTGCAGTGTCTGACAGTTGTGATGAATGGTTTGAAAAACCGACAAGTTGAAGATTGAGACACTTATGCAGCATGTGGGAATCTTTATTCAGGAAACGTTTCGCCACACAGTGGCTTCATCAGTCCAATACAAAGAGGAAGGCGTAAGGAGAGGAGGAGTATGAGGTAATCAGTCCCTCAGCCTGGAGTCGATGTGTTCAGTCCATCAATCTTGTAGAATGTACCACTATGATGGTACCACTATGATCCCGCCTCCGTCTGCTTCAAGTCACCTCACTACAGTATATAAGCCACGTCTACGGCCCTATGCTGTACATTCTACAAGATTGATGGACTGAACACATCGACTCCAGGCTGAGGGACTGATTACCTCATACTCCTCCTCTCCTTACGCCTTCCTCTTTGTATTGGACTGATGAAGCCACTGTGTGGCGAAACGTTTCCTGAATAAAGATTCCCACATGCTGCATAAGTGTCTCAATCTTCAACTTGTCGGTTTTTCAAACCATTCATCACAATACTTGATTAGTTAGAGTTGGGCAGGACAGCACGCCAGAGGACTGGGCTGAGTTTGTGACTAGATAATGCAGTATTAGGGACTACATTGGTGAGCATTCAAGGACTCGTCAAATAGGAAAGGACAGTGAACTGATCACATAGAGAAACAGTTGGCCTTGTCTGGAAAAGTTCAAGCCATGACTGGGAAGGTTACTGTTAACTGCAGTGACAGGAATAGATATGCTAATAGTAATAGACCTTGTCCTGGTAGACCAGATCATAGGTACAGCAAGCAAAATCCCAGTGCACAGACAATGTTAGGCCATCTCTCAGTTTAGCAGTGCTAAGGTGGGTATCGCAAGGCTCCAGAAGGATGATCAGCATGCACCATCTGAAGGGAAGTGTCAAGGTTTGTAGGAGAGAAGGCAGCAGGTACTGTTCATCTTACCAGGATACATCAGAAATGAAGGTAAATGGATGGCTAATGAGTAGAGTTCCTGGATCATGATGATGATGCAGAAATGGTGTCATTCCCTTTGGTGCCAAAGATTCACAGATCCTGTCATCCTATTCAGTGCAAAGGATGCAAAGATGGTGTCATTACCTTCAGTACCTAGTATTACCCTGATCAATTTAGTGGAGATCTACAAGGGAGACATGGACTGTAAGGAGTCCTCTGTTCTTTGCCAGAAGGCAACACTGTAGTATATTTCAGCACTGTGCTTGTCTGATATAACTAATGGAGATGAATACACTGGACATGCAAACAACTCTCTCTCCAGACCAGGATGGTCTGGAGCTTCTCTTGTTAAGAAACTAGATTAGCCATTTAAGGTATTTACGGTAGTTAGGGTTTTATTTGAAAAAACTAATTATTTTTTTACATGGCTTACAATATGGATTTTAATTCTAGTTGCTGAGTAATTTGTTAGACTGACAAATGTCAAAGAGGAATGTATGTTGTGAAGAAAGAGTTATTTATAGCAATACTGTACTTGGAACTGTTGGTATGGTACTGAAGGTAGGTAAGCAACAATTATCATATATTTTAGCCCTCCCCTGCAAAAAAAAAAAAAAAATATCAGAAAATCAGCTTGCATCTCAGAAGCTCAAGGTACAAGTGGTTTGTACTGCAGTACCAGTAAACTAAACTCCAAACATTCCCTCTCCCTACAAAAATGTTTCCCAGATTATCTTAGTGTTATAGTGATTAGTAACTATTATAAATTATAATTTACATATTACTGGTATTTAATAAGCAAACTAGCTTCAACACTTGTAAATAATTGTAAAATAGCCACCTGTAAACAAGAGGTAGGCATGGTGGTTGGTGGTGGAGCTGACAAAATGCTGCAAATGGTTCCACCATTTTCAACTATGCTATGTGCATAAGCAGCCAGCCACTGGCTCATTATTGTTTTTAGGCAAGTTCTGCACTTAAATTTTTACCAGAATTTTTTTTTTCAACAAACTGGCTGTATCCCACCAAGGCAGGGTGGCCCAAAAAGAAAAAAGTTTCTCATTTTAAATTTAGTAATTTATACAGGAGAAGGGGTTACTAGCCCCTTGCTCCCGGCATTTTACCAGAATATACCTGTTAAAATTGGGGTGCACATAATATGCTGGAAAATACAGTATATTAGACATAAGCAAGTTGGGGAAATTGTTATGTACGTGCATGATCTGAAAGTTGCCTATGCTTGAAAAATGCACAGGCAGATTTATTGATCTGTGAGTTGTGCTTGATAAGTTCTGAGGAGTATTATCACCTATGTCTGCTCGTGCCTCTTCAACCATGGAATAATTCATGTATTCTAGGTTTTAGGGAAGTAATCTGTTTTTGTGAGAAATCATACCCTGACTTTTGTGTTGCCAGTTGCTGGCAACACTAGAATAAGCTAGTGTTTAGCTTAATCAAGTGATTAGTACAATCTTCTTTCAACCAACCGGCTGTATCCCACCAGAGCAGGGTGGCCCAAGAAGAAAAACAAAAATTTCTTTTTAACTTTAGAGGCAACTTACATTCTCCCGGCATGTTAGTTGCCTCTTATGACACAAGTCTTGTGGAGGAAGAATTCTGTTCCACTTCCCCATGGAGATAGGAGGAAATAAACAAGAACTAGCAAGAAAATAGAAGAAAACCCAGAGGGTGTGTATACAGTGGACCCCCGGTTTGCAATGGCATCGGTATCCGATAAATCTGGTATTCGATACACTTTAACGCAAAAATTTTGCCTCGGTTCCCGTTAAAAAAAACCCGGTATACGCGATTCGTCAGAAACGTGTCCACGTGTGGCCCAGTGTTTACAAGCCAGCCAGTGTGCTCGCATCTAAGGATACATTCGGTACATTCCATATTATCACTGTTTTTGGTGCTTGTTTCTGCAAAATAAGTCACCATGGGAGGCCTGGTCATGGACCGGGCCGCGGGGGCATTGATCCCCGGAATAACTTTCAGGTAACCTCCAGGTATGGGCCCCAAGAAAGCTTCTAGTGCCAACCCTGTCGTAAAAAGGGTGAGAATTAGTATGGAAATTAAGAAAGATTTTGAAGGGTTTGAGGCTAACCCTGAGAAGCCTATGCCAGTTGTGGAATCCATTGTGCCTACTTCAAAAATTAAGGAAATGTGTGCAAAGTGGGTTGAACTGCAAACCTTTATGGATGAAAATCACCCTAACACAGCTATTGCAAACCGTGCTGGTGACTATTACTATGACAATGTTGTGGCCCATTTTAGACAAATCGTAAAGGAACGGGAGGCACAGAGCTGTATAGACAGATTTGTTGTGCGACAGAGGTCCAGTGACTCTCAAGCTGGTTTTAGTGGCATTAAAAGAAGAAGGGAAGTAACCCCGGAAAAGGACTTGCTACCGCAAGTCCTAATGGAAGGGGATTCCCCTTTTAAACAATAAGTTCGACACTCTCCCCTCCTCCCATCCCATCAATCATCACCAGATCTTCATTAAAGGTAAGTGTCATGTATTCTATTGTTAGTAGAGTACTACAAACTGTGCACGTCTTCTTCAGTTTGTGTGCATTAAACTTAATATTTCATGTGGTAAAAAATTTTTTCATACTTTTGGGTGTCTTGCACGGATTAATTTGATTTCCATTATTTCTTATGGGGAAAATTGATTCGCTTTTCGATAATTTTGGTTTACGATGAGCTCTCAGGAATGGATTAATATCGCAAACTGGGGGTCCACTGTATATATGCTTGGATATGCATGTGTAGTGTGACCTAAGTGTAAGTAGAAGTAGCAAGATGTACCTGAAATCTTGCATGTTTCTTCCACTTTCAACAAACTAGCCATATCCCACTAAGGCAGGGTGGCCTTGGTAATGTATACAGGAGAAGGGGTTATTAACCCCTTGCTCCCGACATGTTAGTTGCCTCTTACAACATGAATGGCTTATGGAGGAAGAGTTCTGTTTCACTTCCCTATGGAGATAAGAGGAAATAAACAAGAACTAATTAGAAAATAGAAGAAAACCCAGACGAGTGTGTGTATATATATGGTTGTACATGCATGTGTACTGTGACCTAAGTGTAAGTAGAAGTAGCAAGACGTACCTGAAATCTTGCACGTTTCTTTCAACACACCGGCCGTACCCCACCGAGGCGGGGTGGCCCAAAAGGAAAAACGAAAGTTTCTCCTTTTACATTTAGTAATATATACTGGAGAAGGGGTTACTAGCCCCTTGCTCCCGGCATTTTAGTCACCTCTTACAACACGCATGGCTTACGGAGGAAGAATTCTGTTCCACTTCCCCATGGAGGTAAGGGGAAATACACAAGAACAAGAACTAGTAAGAAAATAGAAGAAAACCCAGAGGGGTGTGTATATATATGCTTGTACATGTATGTGTAGTGTGACCTAAGTGTAAGTAGAAGTAGCAAGATGTACCTGAAATCTTGCATGTTTATTAGACAGAAAAAAAGACACCAGTAATCCTACCATCATGTAAATAAATTACAAGCTTCCATTGTACACTTGCTTGGCAGGATGGTAGTACCTCCCTGGGTGGTTCCTGTCTATGAACCTGCTACCCAGGGATTAATACACTACATGTATAAGATTAAAATGTTTTATTCTATATCCTAAAAGAAGAAAGAATATTAGGTGGTATATTTCCTGTTTCTCATTGTTCTCTTGGCATCCAAAAGTTTTTACAAATTTTATTAGGATTATTACACATTTTTTCACTTGCAGGTATGCCTCCTTGGTCAGGTGTAGAAGAGGCAGATATAGTGCAGCGAGTGGGTGGTGGAGAGACACTTCCAGCTGTGAGTGGGTCTTCACCTTCCCTAGTCACTTACCTCACACAGTATGGACTCAAGTGGAACTCGCACGAGAGGGAACTTGACCTACAAGAAATTCATACAATGCTACGATCTCTACGGGTGTGTGTTAATGCTTTGTTGCTAAATGTTCTTATCTAAATTGGTAATTTTAAAAGAATGTATTAAAATTATAAAGTTGAGTTTTAATGGTTGAGTTCCTTAACTTCTCCTCAGAGGACATACCCCTTAGCTTAGGGACTAGTCTTGTTGCAAACCTTTGCACTTCCTCAAATTTTTTGATATTCTTGACGAGGTTTGAGTTCCATACTGGTGCTGCATGCTTTAATATGTGCATGATGTACACGGTGCACAGTGTCATGAATGACTCCTTACTTAGATGTCAAAATGTTATTCTTAGGTTTGCCAGACATGCATTGTCTGCAGTAATTGTTTGGTTGATATGTACCTTGGGATATGCTTGGTATGATACTCGCCCCAAGATCCTTGTCCTTGAGTGAGGTCTGCAACCTCCCTTACCCTTCCAGCCTGTACTCAATGAAAATGGAACCAAAAAAAATTATGATAAATCTTTTATTTTTATGGTTTGACCTGTAACCTTTGGATTTACTTCAGATAAATAAATACAGTATTTTATTTCCAAAAAGATGCATACAGTAAACATTACAAGGATGAGTTAACAATTTATTTATTCCTTACATGGTAAAGACCATAATTATACATAGAATTCTATGTTATTCATAATACTACCTGTTTAGATGTAGTATAGCTAGAAATTGTGCCATGCAACATTTTCTTATTTTTTTTTCTCCTACATCAGATACAGTCCAACGAGGAGGATCGTGTGCCTGCTGTTCCAGCATGGGGTCCACCTTCCATACCTAATACACCAGTTATTGGCAGACATGCATCACAGACGCAAGCCCCATCTTCTACATCGAAGACCAACTCTGCTCTTGACTCTTCGAGTGATTCTTGCAATAATCGTAAATATAGCTCTGGGTCTCTGTCTAGTCACCCAGAAGTCCCTAGTGATTTTAGTGAAAACCTTAGACGAGCAAAAGATGCAAGAAAAGACACCAGTTCACTCACACAAGTGGTAGTTTCAAGTGAGGTACACAATAGTCAAAATGCTACTCCTTGCTCACTTCAGAGGCTACATACTGAACAGCTGCCAAAGTCACCACATGTTCCTTTAGAAGATAAATTAGATGGCATGCCAAAAAAGTTGCAGTGTGTGCCAGGAAATACCAAAGGAAAGATAACAGGTGTAGATAGTGGTTTCTCGACCCCCTGCACTCGCACACCCAGTCCCACCATGGACACCATAACCAGTGCCAAGTAAGTGTTCTCAATGGAATGAAAATTTAGATTTTAAGAATACTGCATTGATTTACTTATAGAAGTCATCATTTTGTTTATTTAATTTTACAAATTTTAAATTAAAGACTATTTGTAGAAATTATACAAGGTTTTTCAGCTTGTTTTCCAATATAAATTTAATCTTATTTTTTTAAGATTTTTTCATACTATTGTACATTTTACATTTTACTTTTTTTTTTTCAGAATTAATCCATCATTTTTAACATCAACTCCATCTAGACCACCAACTACATCAGTCTTAAGAGTGGATCTCCAGCCAGATCTTCTCCCTAATAAAGTTAACATTAAATCTTTGACCAATGGGCAGACCCCTGATATACTTTCCCGTGGGCATATGGAGTGTAGTAAGGGAGGATGTAGGAATAGAGAAGGGCAGGCAATGAATAAGAATCCTAAATTATCTGTCCAAGCTCCTCTGTCTCCCATTATACCAGTAACAGACTCTGATCACTCACGTACCAGTTCCCCAACAGGTGAACAGGCAGTTGGGTATGGGTATATCTCAAATGCTGCCAAAAGAGCCTTTTTAATGGAAAGTGATGGGGGGGATGATGGAACTTCATCAGTACCTGAGCGTCCCTCTAGTGCATCCAGGCTTTATAGAGATGTTCCCAGTCAAGCGACAGATGTCCTCCGTAGGACCGAGGTGGTTCGTCGAGGGCTGAGTATGACTAACATCAACTCGCCAAACTTTTCCACCAGCACTTGTGTCACCAGGACCACCTCCCATGTGTCACTTACTAGTGCCTCGTCCAGTGCCAGTAGCGACACCAGTGGAAGGCGGCCTGTTCGTACAGTCAGCCAAATTACACTTACCCTCAGGAAATTATCACATGTCTCGGACTCCTCCTCTAGCAAGGATGACATGAATGAGCCCCAGCAAGAGCAACACACTTTCTCAGCAAGATCTCGCTCTCTCCCAAAGAGTCCCATGCACACTACTAGGTATTTGCCTTGTTAAGTTTTGTGAGGATATTATACACTCTAATTACTTTGGTTTTATTGCTATTCTGATTAAGCTTTTGTTCCTTTGTAAAAGTTCATTATACGTATAATAAGACATTGAAAATGTAGCATCAGAATTTTAGTAAAATTTATTAGGAAATTTGGTTTTGCTGCTAAAAATGCACAGATGTATGCATACAGATACAGATTGGTGAGTGAGCAAGTGTATAAATATTTATAATTCATCCTTAAGAAAATTGTAAATATAGCAGTAGAATTGGGTAATTTTATACTAGGCATATTTTTTCTGGTTTCAAAATCCCTTAACTCTTTGAGGTCCATCCTGTAGTTCTACAGCTTTGATGTCAGGGTTCAAGCTACATCATAGAGCTCAGCTCACCCAGGTAAGCTGTGAGTGGTAAATTTGGGCCTAAATATGAGAATGCATCTGTGGTAAGTGTGCACCATATAAAACAAATCCTGAAACATGCAGTGCATAATGAGAAAAAACTGCTACCGTGTTTTTGGATTAAAACAGCGACTTTGCAGTGTATGGTTTTAACGGTTGTATTCATGGTTTCTTGGTCTCGTTTGATAAAATGGAATTTATATTACAGAAATAGAGATGATTTTAATTGGTTTTATTACTCAAAATAGCTTGAGCTCAAAGTAGCAGAAATGTTCGATATTTACTGATGTTCAAGAGTAAACAAATCACATCACGCTTCCAATATATGTCAGCTGGTGGGTCCACTGTGTGTTTACAAATGTGCTGATATTATTTATACAGTTATTACAATATTGCATAACAGTAAATCTTCTATTTTTTGTTATGAATAAAAATTCTTTGTGAATAAAAAATGAAAATGGAATTCATGTGTAAAGCCTGGAAATGTAACTAATAAACAGAGGAAATGTTATTTTAGTGCCAGGAATGCCTGCATTGTTTATTCTGGACCTTATTTTGAACTTTATGTGAAATTGGCCAAATTATCAATTTCCAGTCACTTTATTGGGTAGTTGAAATACTGTAGTTGATTGAGCAATTTCTTGTGCTCAGTAGATAAAATGGAACACATACTAGCAAAATAGCTAAAAATTTGGTGTAATGCAACAATGTAATCTGCCGAAAATAGGCCTCAAAGTGGGTAAAATTGCTGATGTGTAAATATTGCTGATACATCAAAATTCACGAGAGCATAATTTCATCAATTTTTGATCAAATTTTGTACTTTTTGTTTTATTACCTTCAGAAAAAGATTCTCTACCATTTCTTAAGAATTTTTTTTTTTTTTTTTTAAATTATTGGACCCTGTGAGGAATTTTCAGATTGGGGGTCTGGACCCTCAGAGAGTTGAATGAAAGTTGTTCAGTCAAGGTGTTACTATTCATCAAAATACTGGGCTTAGGAATACATCTGACTTTTTATTAAAAGGCAGAGCTCATGAGCTGGAGCTCAGCACTGGCAAAGAAAGGTAGGCCGTTTCATACACCAAAAAATTCTTAAAGGGTGATTGTCATTCTTGAAGATTATGCAGATATTCTTTTGCAGAAGCTGTAAAAAGGACGGGAGCAATGGATGGGAAGAGATCACGGGCATTAAACCAGCCAGCCACCAATTGACACGCCATTCTTCCTCGTGCTCCTTGGCCAGTGGCCCGTCTAGCCCTACCCATTACAACAGCAGCTCCTCAAATTCCTGGCAACATAGCAACACTATTGGTGCTTGTGGGAGGCCCTCCTCTAGTCAGGGCTCAGCACCTTATTCAAATTCAGGCACTAAGGTATTACCCATTAGAAATGTCTTAAATTTTGAATCCATTTAGTAGCACTGCCTTTAATAATTATGCAGTATTTATATTTACATTTTATTATACAGTAATTTTTTTAAACTAATGCATGTATACATACATACATGAGGCATTATGTAGAATGAAAGGGGGTAAAGCAGCTGGAACTGATGGGATCATGACAGAAATGTTAAAAGCAGGGGGGGGATATAGTGAACATCAAAATGGTATACAATACCGACAGGTTGTTAGGTAAGACACATATGCAACAGTTAGACAACTTTATTCCGAAACGTTTCGCCTACACAGTAGGCTTCTTCAGTCGAATACAGAAAGTAGGCAGGAACAGTAGAGATGTGAAGACGATGTAATCAGTCCATCACCCTTAATGTCGTAGAATTTGAGGTTGTCAGTCCCTCGGCCTGGAGAAGTTCAGTTCCATAGTCAGGAACTATCTGAAGATCAAGCGACAGTGCGGAGACTTAAATACTGTCGGAAGGAGAGGTGCAGGGTAGTAATAGTAGTAGTAGTAATAGTAGTAGTGAGAGGCAACTGAGAGGTCATGTCCCTCTCAGATCCAACCCTTCTCACTTGAAAAGCTTGTTCAAGGTGTTCTGTACCAAGATGCCACGTGTTGCAGTGTCTGACAAGATGAACATCAAAATGGTATAGTGTTGGAGTGGTTGGTACTTTTGTTTAATAAATGTATGAAAGAGGGGAAGGTACCTAGGGATTGGCGGAGAGCATGTATAGTCCCTTTATATAAAGGGAAAGGGGACAAAAGAGATTGTAAAAATTATAGAGGAATAAGTTTATTGAGTATACCAGGAAAAGTGTACGGCAGGGTTATTATTGAAAGAATTAGAGGTAAGACAGAATGTAGGATTGCGGATGAGCAAGGAGGTTTCAGAGTGGGTAGGGGATGTGTAGATCAAGTGTTGACATTGAAGCATATATGTGAACAGTATTTAGATAAAGGTAGGGAAGTTTTTATTGCATTTATGGATTTAGAAAAGGCATATGATATTGGATAGGGGAGCAATATGGCAATGTTGCAAGTATATGGAATAGGTGGTGAGTTACTAAATGCTGTAAAGAGTTTTTATGAGGATAGTGAGGCTCAGGTTAGGGTGTGTAGAAGAGAGGGAGACTATTTCCCGGTAAAAGTAGGTCTTAGACAGGGATGTGTAATGTCACCATGGTTGTTTAATATATTTATAGATGGGGTTGTAAAAGAAGTAAATGCTAGGGTGTTCAGGAGAGGGGTGGGATTAAATTATGGGGAATCAAATACAAAATGGGAATTGACAGTTACTTTTTGCTGATGATACTGTACTTATGGGAGATTCTAAAGAAAAATTGCAAAGGTTAGTGGATAAGTTTGGGAGTGTATGTAAAGGTAGAAAGTTGAAAGTGAACATAGAAAAGAGTAAGGTGATGAGGGTATCAAATGATTTAGATAAAGACAAATTGGATATCAAATTTGGGAGGAGGAGTATGGAAGTGAATGTTTTCAGATACTTGGGAGTTGACGTGTCGGCGGATGGATTTTTGAAGGATGAGGTTAATCATAGAATTGATGAAGGAAAAAAGGTGAGTGGTGCATTGAGGTATATGTGGAGTCAAAAAACGTTATCTGTGGAGGCAAAGAAGGGAATGTATGAAAGTATAGTAGTACCAACACTCTTATGAGTGTGAAGCTTGGGTTGTGAATGCAGCAGCGAGGGGGCGGTTGGAGGCAGTGGAGATGTCCTGTCTAAGGGCAATGTGTGGTGTAAATATTATGCAGAAAATTCGGAGTGTGGAAATTAGGAGAAGGTGTGGAGTTAATAAAAGTATTAGTCAGAGGGCTGAAGAGGGGTTGTTGAGGTGGTTTGGTCATTTAGAGAGAATGGATCAAAGTAGAATGACATGGAGAGCATATAAATCTGTAGGGAAAGGAAGGTGGGGTAGGGGTTGTCCTTGAAAAGGTTGGAGGGAGGGGGTAAAGAAGGTTTTGTGGGTGAGGGGCTTGGACTTCCAGCAAGCATGCATGAGCGTGTTAGATAGGAGTGAATGGAGATGAATGGTATTGGGGACCTGACGAGCTGTTGGAGTGTGAGCAGGGTAATATTTAGTGAAGGGATTCAGGGAAACCGGTTATTTTATATAGCCGGACTTGAGTCCTGGAAATGGGAAGTACAATGCCTGCACTTTAAAGGAGGGGTTTAGAATATTGGCAGTTTGGAGGGATATGTTGTGTATCTTTATATGTACAGTGGACCCTCAACCAGCGATATTAATCCGTTCCTGAGAGCTCATCGTTAGTCAAAATAATCGTTAGTCAAGCTAATTTTCCCCATAAGAAATAATGGAAATCAAATTAATCCGTGCAAGACACCCAAAAGTGTTGAAAAAAAAAATTTACCACATGAAATATTAATTTTAATACACAAAAACTGAAGATTACATGCACAGTTACATGACACTTACCTTTATTGAAGATCTGGTGATGATTGATGGGATGGGAGGAGGGGAGGGGGAGCTTATCTTTTACTGTTTGGAAGGGGATCCCCTTCCATTAGCACTTGAGGCAGCAAGTCTTTTTCTGGGGTTACTTCCCTTGTTCTTTTAATGCCACTAGGACCAGCTTGGAGTCACTGGACTTCTGTCGCACAACATATCTGCCCAAATAGAGGCCTGTACCTCTCGTTCCTTTATGACTTTCCTAAAGTGGTTCACAACATTGTCAGTGTACAGGTTGCCAACCGGCTTGCAGTAGCTGTGTCAGGGTGATTATCATCCATAAAGCTTTGCCTTTAAGCCACATTGCACAGATTTCCTTTAAAACTTAGAAGTAGGAAAACTTCTTCAATTTCTTCCCCTCCTCCGAAGCAGTTTTCCTCAGTCTGCCTCTTGCGGTTCAAGATGATCTACAGCTCATCAGTGGTTAGTTCTTCACTGTCCTTCCCCACCAACCTTCCACATCCTCCCCACTAACCTCCAACCCCAAGGATTTCCCCCATGCCACAATGGATTCCTCAACTGGCATAGGATTCTCAGGGTTAGCCTCAAACCCTTCAAAATTCCTTTTGTCTACACATTCTGGCCACAGTTTTTTCCAAGCAGAGTTCAATGTCCTCTTAGTCACTTCCTCCAAGCCTTACTAAATTGTTTACACAATTGAGGATGGTTTTAAAAAGATCTTTTCCCAAAAATCTCTTAGTCAGTTTAGTTTCTGAGGTCACACAAAGCACCTTTCAAACATAGCTTTTGTGTACAGTTTCTTGAAGTTGGAAATAACCTGCTGGTTCATGGGCTGCAGGAGAGGAGTGGTATTAGGAGGCAAAAACTTCACCTTTAATGAAGCTCATGTCCCTAGAAAGTCGCTCTGCCACATCTGTAGGATGACCAGGGGCATTGTCTAATACCAGGAGGCACTTAAGGTCTAATTTCTTTTCAATTAGGTAATTTTTCACATCGGGGGCAAATGCATGGTGTAACCAGTCATAAAGTCCCTAGTGACCCATGCCTTACTGTTTGCCCTCCACAGCACACAGAAATTAGCCTTGAGGACATTGTTTTTCCTGAACACTCTGGGGGTTTGAGTGATACACCAATAAAGGCTTTACTTTGCAATCACCACTAGCATTGGCACACATCAACAAAGTAAGCCTGTCTTTCATAGGCTTATGTCCTGGGAGTGCCTTTTCCTCCTGAGTAATGTACGTCCTGCTTGGCATTTTCTTCCAAAACAGGCCTGTTTCGTCACAATTAAACACTTGTTCAGGTTTCAGTCCTTCACTGTCTATGTACTCCTTGAAGTCCTGCACATATTTTTCAGCCGCTTTGTGGTCCGAACTGGCAGCCTCACCTATGAATGCCACTACGCTTCTTAAATCTCTCAAACCAACCTTTGCTGGCCTTAAATTTACTCACATCACTAGTTGCCGGCATTTTTTTTAATTAAATCGTCATGCAACTTCCTAGCCTTTTCACATATGATCGCTTGAGAGATGCTGTCTCCTGCTATCTGTTTCTCGTTTATCCACACCAATAACAGTCTCTCAACATCTTCGAGTACTTGCGATCTCAGTTTCGAAAACATAGTTGCACCTTTGGCAAGAACAGCTTCCTTGATTGCCGTTTTCTTGCCCACAATAGTAGCGATGGTTGATTGGGGTTTATTATACAACCTGACCAGCTCAGAGATACGCACTCCACTTTCATATTTATCAGTGATCTCTTTCTTCATCTCCATAGTAATTCTCACCCTTTTTGCTGTAGGGTTGGCACTAGAAGCTTTCTTGGGGCCCATGGTGACTTATTTTGCAGGTGCAATCACTAAAAAGGCTGTGATAATATGAAATGTTCCAGTTGTATGTTTGGAAGCGACCGCGGTGGCTGGCTGGCTTGTAAACACTGGCACCAAAGGGACAAGTGAGGCGCGCTCAGGCCAAAGTGGACGCGTATGGTACGGAACGAAAAGTGCTGGTCGGGTTTTTAAGCGCTAGTCGAGGCAAAATTTTTGCGTTTAAATGAATCGCTAGTCAGATTTATCGTTAATCGATGCAATCACTGGTTGAGGGTCCACTGTATATACTTCTAAACTGTTGTATTCTGAGCAGCTCTGCAAAAACAGTGATTATGTGTGAGTGAGGTGAAAGTGTTGAATGATGATGAAAGTATATTCTTTGGGGGATTTTCTTTCTTTTTGGGTCACCCTGCCTCGGTGGGAAACGGCCGACTTGTTGAAAAAAAAAATTAAAAAACCCAGTAAAAGTCTATGTAAATAAATATTAAATACACCTACCATCCGACTTACGACAGAGTTCGGTTCCGAGAAACCGGTCGTAAGTCGAAATGGTCGTAAGTCGAACTTTACTACTGAATATCAACAAAACAATTTTGTAATGACTTTATTTTATTGTTTTATTTGGTATTTCATGTTTTACTTTACTTTTTATGTTGTTAGCACTGTATTTTATACTGTAAGGTTCAGGATAAACACTGTGTACAACACAAATAGTTGTTTATTTCCCAGAAATTTGGCATAAAAAAACACGGTCGTAAGTCGAGTGGTCGTAAGTCGAGCAGGTCATAAGTCGGATGGTAGGTGTATATCATGTATTTTTTTTAAAAAATGTGAAACATTAAAAAACTCAGAAAAAATGTATTAAAATGGTATTTTATTGTATTTAAATATTTAATTGCTGCATTAAATACTGTATCTTGGTATTGCCTTTACCAGATTCAGTTGCATAACAAGAGTACATATAAAAGTATATCATAGAGCAATATTCACATTCACTTAGTTTATAAATATACTTGTGTACTAAACAATTATTACCCTACTAATATAAAGCAGTGTGGTGATCCACACATCATGTACCCTAGACACATAATTTGTTCTGCCTCAGAATCTTTAGCACGTGATATTGTCTTCGATTTTATGTGGAATAACCACACTGAACTTTGTCTATGACAGTGACTGGTTATCCTGCTTTTTTGATATCACTTGCTTCTGTGATTATCTTGTTTTTTAATATATTGAATTTTATAAACTATTATATAACAATTTGAATTATCATGTTTCTTATTCTGTGATGTTAAATTTGGTAACGTTTAATATTCTTCTAGTCCTTACATAAAGTTCAGGGTTCAGGTAAAATGTTTATAATAATATTTATCATATTTGAAACTGGTGAAGATTATTTTAATTTATTATTTTCTTACATATACAGTAGGGCCCCACTTTTTAGCATTTCACCTTATGGCGTTCCACTAATACGGCAATCTCAAATTATAACCAAAACTTTCTATACGGCAAGTGGTCTTTCAAATACGGCACGCACCACCTGGTTTGTTTACATTTTCCATGAGCACATCTCTCTGTTATGTAACAATAATCACTCTTTTGCACATTAAATGTCTAATTTTACATCAATATAGACATTTTCATTAATTCACTTATGATATTTTCTTCAAAATTATATAAGAAACACGTTACATAGCATATAAACATGCTGTTTATATGCTATGGAGGGGTTGTTGCCAGGTGGAAGCAAAACATTATGTAATACAGTGGACCCCCGGTTCGCAATGGCATCGGTATCCGATAAATCCGGTATTCGATGCATTGTATCGCAAAAATTTTGCCTCGGTTCCCGTTACAAAACCCGGTATATGCGATTCGTCTGAGACATGTCCACGTGTGGCCTGAACTGCCCCGTGTGTGCCAGTGTTTACAAGCCGGCCAGTGTACTCGCATCTAAGGATACATTCGGTACATTCCATATTATCACAGTGTTTTTGGTGCTTGTTTCTGCAAAATAAGTCACCATGGGCCCCAAGAAAGCTTCTAGTGCCAAGCCTTCGAGACCAAGGGTGCTAATGACTATTGAAATGAAAGAGATAATTGCAAAGTACGAAAATGGAGTGCGTGTCGGAGCTGGCCAAGTTGTATACAAAACCCCAATCAACCATCTGTACTATAGTGGCCAGGAAAACGGCAATCAAGGAAGCTGTTGTTGCAAAAGGTGCAACTGTGATTACGAAACAGCGACCGCAAGTGTTAGAAAATGTTGAGAGACTGTTATTGGTGTGGATAAATGAAAAACAGATAGCAGGAGATAGCATCTCTCAAGCGATCATTTGTGAAAAGGCTAGGCAGTTGCATGACGATTTGGTAGTGTGTGATGTGAGTAAATTTAAGGCCAGCAAAGGTTGATTTGAAAGATTTAAGAATCGTAGTGGCATGGTGAGGCTGCCAGTTCGGACCAAAAAGCAACTGAAAAATATGTGTAGGAATTCAAGGATTACATAGACAGTGGAGACTTGAAACCTGAACAAGTTTTTAATTGCGACAAAACAGGCCTGTTTTGGAAGAAATTGCCAAGCAGGACCTACATTACTCAGGAGGAAAAGGCACTCCCAGGACATAAGCCTATGAAAGACAGGCTTACTCTTCTGATGTGTGCCAATGCTAGTGGTGATTGCAAAGTGAAGCCTTTATTGGTGTATCTCTCAAACTCCCAGAGTGTTCAGGCAAAAGAATATCCTCAAGGCTAATTTGTGTGTGCTATGGAGGGCAAACAGTAAGGCATGGGTCACTAGGGACTTTTTCTATGACTGGTTACAACATGCATTAGCCCCCAGTGTGAAAAATTACCTAATTGAAAAGAAATTAGACCTTAAGTGCCTCCTGGTATTAGACAATGCCCCTGGTCATCCTACAGATGTGGCAGAGCGACTTTCTGGGGACATGAGCTTCATTAAGGTCAAGTTTTTGCCTCCTAATACCACTCCTCTCCTGCAGCCCATGGACCAGCAGGTCATTTCCAACTTCAAGAAACTGTACACAAAAGCTATGTTTGAAAGGTGCTTTGAAGTGACCACAGACACTCTATTGACTCTAAAGGAGTTTTGGAAGGATCACTTTAATATCCTCAATTGTGTAAACCTTATAGGTAAGGCTTGGGAGGGAGTGACTAAGAGGACCTTGAACTCTGCCTGGAAAAAACTGTGGCCAGAATGTGTAGACAAAAGGGATTTTGAAGGGTTTGAGGCTAACCCTGAGAAGCCTATGCCAGTTAAGGAATCCATTGTGGCGTTGGGGAAGTCCTTGGGGTTGGAGGTTAGTGGGGAGGATGTGGAAGAGGTGGTGGAGGAGGACAATGACGAACTAACCACTGATGAGCTGCTAGATCATCTTCAACAGCAAGAGGCCAGACCTAAGGAAGGAGGAGGGGATGGAGAAAGTGAAGAAGTTGCCTACTTCAAAGATTAGGGAAATGTGTGCAAAGTGGCTTGAAGTGCAAAGCTTTTTTGATGAAAATCACCCTGACACAGCTACTGCAAGCCGTGTTGGCAACCTGTACAATGACACTGTTGTGAACTACTTTAGGAAAGTCATACAGGAATGAGAGGTACAGGCCTCTATGGACAGATATGTTGTGCGACAGAAGTCCAGTGACTCTCAAGCTGGTCCTAGTGGCATTAAAAAAAGAAGGGAAGTAACCCCGGAAAAGGACTTGCTACCTCAAGTCCTAATGGAAGGGGATTCCCCTTCTAAACAATAGGTTTGACACTCTCCCCTCCTCCAAATCATCACCAGATCTTCATTAAAGGTAAGTGTCATGTATTCTATTGTTAGTAAAGTACATACTACAAACTGTGCATGTCTTCTTCAGTTTGTGTGCATTAAACTTAATATTTCATGTGGTAACAGGTTTTTTTTTTTTTTTTTTTTTATACTTTTGGGTGTCTTGCACGGATTGATTTGATTTCCATTATTTCTTATGGAGAAAATTGATTCGCTTTCCGATAATTTTGGTTTACGATGAGCTCTCAGGAACGGATTAATATCGCAAACCGGGGGTCCACTGTACTAATAATAATAATCACTCTTGGGCACATTAAATGTCATATTTTATGTTAATATAGACATTTTCATTAATCCATCTATGATATTTTCTTCAAAATTATATAAGAAACACATTACATAGCATATAAACATTTTATGTTTATATACTATGGCGGTGTGGTAGCCAGGTGGAGGGAAAACTTTACATCACCCCCCTTAATACGTAACTCCTTTGCTTACAATTCTCGGCTTGAATTATTCATTACTTTTCCCTTAGTTTAATGGCATCTAAAAAAAAAAAACTAATTTTTTCTTTTAAGGTCACCCTGCCTTGGTGGGATATGGCCAGTTCGTTGAAAAGGAAAATTGTATAATGCAAAATGATGTGTAATTTTTAAAATTCAGACTGTCATTCATGTTATGAACAGACAAGTGTAGGGCGGCGATGGAACAGCATCAGTGGTACATCAGCAGGGCTTGGGGACACGGCAATCAAGATTCAGCCACGACGGCACTCGGAGGGCCAGAGACCACGAGCCCGCAAGAGCAAACGCCGTCAAGAGGTGGAGGTCTGTACTTGTGAGATTTTTCTTTTACAAACTCATTAATGTTTTGCTTTCTTAAGTTATAATAATAAACTTTAACAATGAATCATAAACGGCAAGTTTCAGTCATATAGTTTATTTATCTTGTGAAGAAGAGAAAGACTACACCTGCCAATTCAGATATATGAATAGATTGATATTGACTGCAATATACCCATGAGGTTAATAAACAGCAACTCCCCAGGGAGGTATTACTGGTAGCCCTACCAAATGAGTGTGAAATAGAAACCTGTAATTATTTTATACAATAGTAGGATTGATAGTATCTTTTCTTTGTCTCATAAACATGGAAGATGACAGGTGCATCTTGCTACTTATACATATACTTAGTTTGTTACACATACCAATACATCTATGTGTATACACACCATCTGAATTTTCTTGTTTTCTTAACAGTTCTTATATTATTTCCTTTCATCTCCATGAGGAAGTGGAAAAGAATCATTCCTCCATAAGCCATGCATGTCATAAAAGATGACTAAAATGTCGAGAACAAGAGGCTACTAACCTCTTCTCTTGTATTAATCACTAAATTTAAAAGAACATTTTAAAGTTGTGATGTTTGAATGTGTGGATGTAGTACAGATGATAGGAGAGAGTTGATTGTGAACGTTATGAATGAAAAGAAGGTGGATGTTCTAGCTCTAAGCAAAACAAAGCTGAAGGAAGTAGGTGATTTTTCAGTGGGAATAAATATCTTGGGGTTAGGTCAGGTGTATTTGAGAGAATTAGAGTAAGGAAGTAGTGGTAATGTTGAATGATCATTTATGGAAGGAAAAGGAATGTTTTTTTTTTTTTATTATTAACACATCAGCCATTTCCCACCAAGGCAGGGTGGCCTGAAAAAGAAAAGCTTTCATCAATCACTCCATCACTGTCTTGCCAGAGGCATGCTTACACTACAGTTATAAAACTGCAACATTAATTAACACCCCTCTTTCAGAGTGCTGGCACTGTACTTTCCATCTCCAGGAATCAAGTCCAGCCTGCCGGTTTCCCTGAATCCCTTCATAAGTGTTACCTTGCTTACACTCCAACAGCACATCAAGTCATAAAAACCATTTGTCTCCATTTGCTCCTATCTAACATGCTCACGCATGCTTGCTGTTAGTCCAAGCCCTTCGCACACTGAACCTCCTTTACCCCTCCCTCCAACCTTTCCTAGGCCAACCCTTACCCCGCCTTCCCTCCACTACAGATTTATACACTCTCAGTCATTCTACTTCATTCCATCCTCTCTACATATCCAAACCATCTCAACCCCTCCTCTCCTCAGTAACCTGAGGAAGAGAGGAGTGTGCCTACTTACTTGGAGGTCATTCTGAGGGTCAATGCCCCCGTGGCCAAGTCTTTAACCAGGCCTCAAGGTGGATCAGGGTATGATCATCCAGTCTGTTAATGTTTACTTGCACTCAATTCAGCATATGAACCACAGTCTGGCTGACTGGGCTGTGGCATAATAGGTGAATTTGGGGTGCCAGAGGTAAAGGATAATGGGGAGCCTTTAATTAAACTGTACAGAAAGAGGTTTAGTAATGCATATTTTAAGAAAAAAAGAGAAGGAGTATATGAGAGATGATTTTGTGCACAATGACAGCAGTTTGTTAAACTATGTATTAGGAGATAAAAGGTTGATAGGTAGACATCTGGATGTGCATCTTTTTAGAGGGGCAACACATATATCTGATTATTATTTACAGTGGAACCTCTACTTGCGAGCATGTCCACGTGCGAGTTTTTCCAAATACAAGCAGTTGATGGGTTGATTTTTTGTTTCCATAAGCGAGCAGACCTCAAGGCAGGTTCCTTGACACTGGTGAGGGGCTCTTGCTCTTGATCTCGGGAATTGTATCTCATTTGTGTGTTGGACTATCTTATTGAAACTTGGGCAATGTATGATGGAAAGATGTTTCTTAACGTACACCAAAAATGAAAGAAATCTAAGCATAAATAATGGAGTTCACTTCTCAGCAATTAGTCACCCCTTAGCGGTAATTTTGAATGGTTTTTATGGTTGTATTCTCGTTTTTTTTATCTCATTTGATAGAATGGAAGATACATTACAGAAATAGATATGATTTTGATTACTTTCACGACAAAAAGTACCTTGAAATTGAGCTCAACCTAGGAGAAATGGTCCATTGCTCAGCTGTTTCAGAGTAAACAATGTCCATTCCAATATGGAGTCGTGAATGGGTTGACATTATTTATAGAGTTATTGCAATAAGGAATAACAGTAAATCTTATATTTTTTGTGTGAATAAAAATTACAATTTATATAATAATATTTCTACTTACACTTAGGTCACACTACACATACATGTACAAGCAAATATATACACACACCCGTCTGGGTTTTCTGCTATTTTCTTTCTAGTTCTTGTTCTTGTTTATTTTCTCTTATCATCATGGGGAAGTGGAACAGAATTCTTCCTCCGTAAGCCATGCGTGTTGTAAGAGGCAATGAAAATGCTGGGAGCAAGGGGCTAGTAACCCCTTCTCCTGTATAAATTACTAAATTTAAAAAAGAGAAACTTTTGTTTTTCATTTTGGGCCACCCTGCGTCGGTGGGATATGGCCGGTTTGTTGAAAGAAGAATAATAATATAATAATATATGTATAATAATAATACATATATAATAATAATATTTGTAGTAGGTTGGTAGACAGCAACCACCCAGGGAGGTACTACTGTCCTGCCAAGTGAATGTAAAACAAAAGCCTGTAATTGTTTTACATGATGGTAGGATTGCTGGTGTCTTTTGTCTGTCTCATAAATATGCAAGATTACAGGTATGTCTTGCTACTTCTACTTACACTTAGGTCACACTACACATACATGTACATGTTTATTTATACACACTCATCTGAGTTTTCTTTGATTTTATCTTAATAGTTCTTGGTCTTATTACTTTTCTTTTATATCCATGGGGAAGTGGAATAAGAATCTTTCCTCCGTAAGCCATGCGTGTTGTAAAAGTCAACTAAAATGCCGGGAACAATGGGCTAGTAACCCCTTTTCCTGTAAAGATTACATAAAAGAATAAGAAGAAGAAAATTGTCAAAGTGGGAAGTCTGAATGTGCGTGGATGTTGTGCAAATGATAAGAAAGAGATGATTGTGGATGTTATGAATGAGAAGAAGCTGGATGTCCTGGCTTTAAGTGAAACAAAGCTGAAGGGGGTGGGAGACTTTCAATGGAGAGGAATAAATGGGATTAGGTCAGGGGTTTCAAATAGAGTTAGAGCTAAAGAAGGAGTAGCAATAATGTTGAAGGATAAGCTATGGCAGGAAAAGAGGGACTACAAATGTATTAATTCAAGGATTATGTGGAGTAAAATAAAGATTGGATGTGAAAAGTGGGTTTATAGTAAGCGTGTATGCACCTGGAGAAGAAAGAAGTGTAGAGGAGAGAGAGAGATTTTGGGAAAAGTTGAGTGAATGCGTGGGGAGTTTTGAATCAAGTGTGAGAGTAATGGTGGTTGGGGATTTCAATGCTAAAGTGGGTAAAAATGTTATGGAGGGAGTAGTAGGTAAATTTGGGGTGCCAGGGGTAAATGTAAATGGGGAGTCTTTAATTGAGCTATGTGTAGAAAGAGATTTGGTAATAAGTAATACATATTTTATGAAAAGAGGATAAATAAATATACAAGGTATGATGTAGCACGTAATGAAAGTAGTTTGTTAGATTATGTATTGGTGGATAAAAGGTTGATGGGTAGGCTCCCGGACGTACATGTTTATAGAGGGGCAACTGATATATCGGATCATTATTTAGTTGTAGCTACAGTTAGAGTAAGAGGTAGATGGGAAAAGAGGAAGGTGACAACAACAAGTAAGAGGGAGGTGAAAGTGTATAAACTAAGGGAGGAGGAAGTTCGGGGGAGATATAAGTGACTGTTGGCAGAAAGGTGGGCTAGTGCAAAGATGAGTAGTGGGAGGGTTGAAGAGGGTTGGAATAGTTTTAAAAATGCAGTATTAGAATGTGGGGCAGAAGTTTGTGGTTATAGGAGGGTGGGGGCAGGTGGAAAGAGGAGTGATTGGTGGAATGATGAAGTAAAGGGTGTGATAAAAGAGAAAAAGTTAGCTTATGAGAGGTTTTTACAAAGCAGAGTGTTATAAGAAAAGCAGAGTATATGGAGAGTAAAAGAAAGGTGAAGAGAGTGGTGAGAGAGTGCAAAAGGAGAGCAGATGATAGTGGGAGAGGCACTGTCAAGAAATTTTAATGAAAATAAGAAAAAATTTTGGAGCGAGTTAAACAAGTTAAGAAAGCCTAGGGAAAGTATGGATTTGTCAGTTAAAAACAGAGTAGGGGAGTTAGTAGATAGGGAGAGGGAGGTATTAGGTAGATGGCGAGAATATTTTGAGGAACTTTTAAATGTTGAGGAAGAAAGGGAGGCGGTAATTTCATGCACTGGTCAGGGAGGTATACCATCTTTTAGGAGTGAAAAAGAGAGCAGAATGTAAGTGTGGGGAGGTACGCGAGGCATTACGTAGAATGAAATGGGGTAAAGCAGCTGGAACTGATGGGATCATGACAGAAATGTTAAAAGCAGGGGGGGGATATAGTGTTGGAGTGGTTGGTACTTTTGTTTAATAAATGTATGAAAGAGGGGAAGGTACCTAGGGATTGGCGGAGAGCATGTATAGTCCCTTTATATAAAGGGAAAGGGGACAAAAGAGATTGTAAAAATTATAGAGGAATAAGTTTATTGAGTATACCAGGAGAAGTGTACGGTAGGGTTATAATTGAAAGAATTAGAGGTAAGACAGAATGTAGGATTGCGGATGAGCAAGGAGGTTTCAGAGTGGGTAGGGGATGTGTAGATCAAGTGTTTACATTGAAGCATATATGTGAACAGTATTTACATAAAGGTAGGGAAGTTTATATTGCATTTATGGATTTAGAAAAGGCATATGATAGAGTGGATAGGGGAGCAATGTGGCAGATGTTGCAAGTATATGGAATAGGTGGTAAGTTACTAAATGCTGTAAAGAGTTTTTATGAGGATAGTGAGGCTCAGGTTAGGGTGTGTAGAAGAGAGGGAGACTACTTCCCGGTAAAAGTAGGTCTTAGACAGGGATGCGTAATGTCACCATGGTTGTTTAATATATTTATAGATGGGGTTGTAAAAGAAGTAAATGCTAGGGTGTTCAGGAGAGGGGTGGGATTAAATTATGGGGAATCAAATTCAAAATGGGAATTAACACAGTTACTTTTTGCTGATGATACTGTGCTTATGGGAGATTCTAAAGAAAAATTGCAAAGGTTAGTGGATGAGTTTGGGAATGTGTGTAAAGGTAGAAAGTTGAAAGTGAACATAGAAAAGAGTAAGGTGATGAGGGTATCAAATGATTTAGATAAAGAAAAATTGGATATCAAATTGGGGAGGAGGAGTATGGAAGAAGTGAATGTTTTCAGATACTTGGGAGTTGACGTGTCGGCGGATGGATTTATGAAGGATGAGGTTAATCATAGAATTGATGAGGGAAAAAAGGTGAGTGGTGCATTGAGGTATATGTGGAGTCAAAAAACGTTATCTATGGAGGCAAAGAAGGGAATGTATGAAGTATAGTAGTACCAACACTCTTATATGGGTGTGGAGCTTGGGTGGTAAATGCAGCAGCGAAGAGACGGTTGGAGGCAGTGGAGATGTCCTGTCTAAGGGCGATGTGTGGTGTAAATATTATGCAGAAAATTCGGAGTGTGGAAATTAGGAAAAGGTGTGGAGTTAATAAAAGTATTAGTCAGAGGGCAGAAGAGGGGTTGTTGAGGTGGTTTGGTCATTTAGAGAGAATGGATCAAAGTAGAATGACATGGAAAGCATATAAATCTATAGGGGAAGGAAGGCGAGGTAGGGGTTGTCCTCGAAAGGGTTGGAGAGACGGGTAAAGGAGGTTTTGTGGGCAAGGGGCTTGGACTTCCAGCAAGCGTGCGTGAGCGTGTTAGATAGGAGTGAATGGAGACGAATGGTACTTGGGACCTGACGATCTGTTGGAGTGTGAGCAGGGTAATATTTAGTGAAGGGATTCAGGGAAACCGGTTATTTTCATATAGTCGGACTTGAGTCCTGGAAATGGGAAGTACAATGCCTGCACTTTAAAGGAGGGGTTTGAGATACTGGCAGTTTGGAGGGATATGTTGTGTATCTTTATATGTATATGCTTCTAAACTGTTGTATTCTGAGCACCTCTGCAAAAACAGTGATTGTGTGAGTGTGGTGAAAGTGTTGAATGATGATGAAAGCATTTTCTTTTTGGGGATTTTCTTTCTTTTTTGGGTCACCCTGCCTCGGTAGGAGATGGCCGACTTGTTGAAAAAAAAAAAAATAAATAATGTACTATATATAGTAATTATAATAAGAGATGGCTTCAAAAGGTCATCACTAGATGGCAGTGTTTACCACAACAAAGAGGGAGCGGTTGTGGCCACCTCCACCTGTTACATAATGACATATTTTATTTATTCTAGAGTATATATCATGTTTCTATGTTATTTATATTGTTTGTTATGTCATATTAGATGAACCGTGATAGATAAATAAGCCGTATAGATGATATTAGCGAAATTATTCATGAAGTACGTATTTTGCTCGGTCTCCAGACAAACTCTCGTCCACCGCCGACACCGCCCATACCACTACATGAATGACATATTTTATTCATTTTAGGGTATATATCAGGTTTCTATGTTATTTATATTGTTTATTATGTCATATAAGATGAAGTGAAATAGATAAATAAGCCGTAGAGTTGATTATAGCGAAATTATTGAAGTACAAATTTCCACTGGAACGGATTAATTGCATTTCAATTAATTTAAATGAGGAAAATTGACTCTGCAAACGAGCAAATCCAGTTGCAAGGAAGGTCATGGAACGGATTTAACTCGCAAGTAGAGGTTCCACTGTAGTTGTAGCTGCATTGAGAGTAGGAGGTAGATGGAATACCAGGAGAATGTCATCACTGAGTGAGAGAAAAGTGAAAGTTTATAAATTAAAGGAGATAATTAAGGTAAGATATAAAAGCAACTTTTGAGAGAAAGGTGGACTAGAGAGTACAGGTAATGACAAGGTCAAAAAGGTATGGGGTAGATTCAAGAATGCAGTGTTAGTGTGTGCAGCAGAAGTTTGTGGATATAGGAGGGTGGGTGCAGGAGGGAAAAGTGACTAGTGGATTGACCAGGTAGAGTGATAAGTGAGAAAAACTTAGCATATGAGGTTTTTTATAAAGCAGAAATGATATAAGGAGGATAGAGTATATGCAGAATAAATGAGGTTAAGAAAGTGGTAAGGGAGGGTAAAAGGAGAGCAAATAAGAAACTGGGTGAGGTTTTGTTAAAAAAAATTTTGCTGAGAATAAGAATAAGTTTTTGAGTGAGATTAGTAAGTTGAGAAACCTAGGGAATGAATGGATTTAACAGTTAAAAACAAAAGATGGGAATTGTTAGATGGGGAGGAGGAGGTATTGGGAAGATGGAAGGAATATTTTGAGAAGCTGTCAAATTTGATGAAGGGAGAAAGGCAATGATTTCATGCATTAGGCAGGAAAGTATAACATCTTTTAGGAGTGAGGAAGAACCAGATGTGAGTGTGGGGAAAGTGCATGAGGCAGTGGATAGAATGAAAAAGGGGTGAAGCAGCTGGGATTGATGGATAAACAATTTATACCTGTATTCTACTTTATCAAGCACTTCATGTAAGTTCTTCACATTTCAGGTTGAGGAGGAGTTTTTTGACGACGAGTTTAATGCGCTGTTATTCCAGCAGCCTCACATGCAGCTATCAGTAGGATCCTCCGAGAACCTCCTGGATAGCCGGGCACCACACTCCATGCTTGCAGACGGATCAGGTATGACAGTAGCAGAGGACAGTGCTAGGACAAACATCAGCTGTAAGATTAGCTATTGGGTAGTATATTTCGTTACTGTAGGAAAGTAGAATTTTTGAATATTAGTCAAGACAATAAAATAATAGTTCAATTCAAGATTTCATGTTATCGATGTGTAGTTTAGGTAGAGAGCTTAATAATGGTTCGTATTATAGGACAGCATTATAAACAGTTCCTAAAATAATACGAAACTGAAGTATTATTGCAGAGAATTATAAAATTTGCAACAAATTGTGCAAGCCAATATAAAATAATAAAACACTTAAATATAGTTACTTTAAATCTTAAAGAAGAATTAGAAGTACTGGTGATAAAGATTTACTGAACACAGGAGTACTGGCTGAGGTCACTAAAAAAAATAAAGAATGGGTATTTCAAGGGTTAGTGAGAAATGAGTGCTGTACTATACATAGTGCTGTTTTTATAAATGTTATTTTTTACATAGTTTAAACATCAGTGATTTATTTGCATACACAGGTCTTCCACTTATGACCCTAATGTGCTCCCAAAAATTGTTTCCGAGTGTTTGGAACTCATAACCTATTTCTCATAGATACTTAATTAATAATCAGAGGTGTGCGCCTGAGTGATAATATTCTTTATCTAATTTAACCCTTAAACTATCCACATGTAGATCACCAATCACGTGCGGTGGGGGGGGGGGGGGCTTCGAATGTAGATCAATGTTTTATTTTTCATTCCTTCAAAATTGGTGCAATAGGCCTGAGTCACCTAGACATGAGAGAGTGGGTCTGCGTGCTCAGTATGAAAATAATTGGGGACCACTTAGTACCTTGTGGGAGCACCAGTTCAACTGAGCACCAGCTAGAGCAAATAGCATGGCAAACACCAGGGATTCACTGATGTCATGTCGTATTAACACTCCCCTTTTAAGAGGAAAGTAAAAATAGGTTAGATAAATATATGAATGGGTGTGAGTTGGACCTGACTAGCTTGTGCCACTAGGTCAGATGCTGTGCTCCTTCCTTCAGTGGATGTGACCTGACTAGGTGGGTCATTGGTGTAAGCTAGGAGGTGACAGATCTGCTTTGCATGAGCCAGTAGGCCTGCTGCAGTGCTCCTTCTTTCTTGTGTATTTGGCTGGCTCTGTCTGTATCTTTCTATATCTCTATCTCTCACATGTACACATAAGTAGAGTTATTATACATAGTGTAAATTACCTAGGATAACCCAAAAATTCCAGGCAGTGTTTGTAGATATAAGACATAATAAACATGATGCATGTAATAGTCACTTGCTCAGCAATCAGGGAGCGGCTCATAAACCAAAAGCCAACAAGTTTACCAGCTGCTCCCCGAGACAGAGAGACTGATGGAAAGACAGATACACAGACACAGATACAGACAGACAGACATGTTTGTGTGCAACAGCGACAACAAATAAAGCGTGGGTTCCCTGCAGCAGCCCACATTCATCAAATGTCCACTGCCTGTCACTGGTTATCTCATGCTTGTCATAACACCATTCTTCATTGAGTTTCATATATACTCCAAGCAGACACAGGCAGACAGAAAGATAGCTAGACAGACAGACACAGACATGTTTGTGTGCAACAGGGAAAACAAATAAAGCCAGGGTTTCATGCAGCAGTGCACATTCATCAAATGTCACCAGTTATCTCGCTTGTCATAACACCATTCTTCAAGGAGTTTCATATATACTCCAGCATTTCTAAAACATTGCAAAGACCTATAAATACTTTGTATATATTTCTAGACAATAGTAAATGACCCAGGCAGGTGAAAATGTTCACCTGTCAGTGTGATTGTTACTATTTGAGTACTATTTCAGTACATAATATTAGTGTCAGAACAAAGATTGGCTATGAAATCACAAGAACTATTATAAATTGTAATTATCAGAACATAAAAATTATATAAATTAAAATAAAAATGAGAAAAAAAGGTACATCAGCAACACTTCTGCAAGCGGCAGGACTGGATGTTGCTGTCAGGTGAGCATCCAGAGCCAACTTCTCGGTCTTCTATCTCGGTAAATACTGGTCCTAAAAAATTTTTTTTTGTCTTATACCACACAGAAAATTGCCCTCTTTAATTAAAAAAAAAATTATATTTTTCAAAATATTCAGAGAGCCACGCAGGTGAACGTAGATGTACATTTGGACAGTTTAAGGGTTAATTTTTTAATGAAATTAAAAGATAGTATATTGCTCCTTCCACCATTCCCCCTCTCTTATTCCTTACTTTTCATCCTCTCTTGTAATCCTTCCCTCCCACTCTCCCATTCACTCCTGTCCTATTTTTCATCATGCTCTCGCACTCCTGTCATGTTGAGGGTATTAGTTGTCAGCATATGGTGTAGAAGTGAGTGGTGAGGATAATTACATGGGGGAGGGAGGGTTGTGCAGTGAGCAGTGCTAAGGTAGGGAGAAATGAAAAGAGAGGGGTCACTTACCAATCCAGTGCTGGCTACTAAGCCCCAGGCCTGGGCCTTTTTTCCTGGCTCTCTGGCAACCTACCCAATCCCCTGGTAGCCCAACTATTTCCCCATCTTTCCAACCATCCCCTTTTCTGTCTTTACAGCCAATGGACTTTTTCCCTTTCCCTCAGGCTTTCTGGTAAACCCAATCCCCTGGCATCCCAATTATTTTCCCAGTGGCCAACAGCCCAGGGGTTTAATCCCTTCCCCCCAGGCCCCCTGGCAATTAACTCTACCACTTGACAAAGCAACCATCCTCCCATGCTGCTGCTCCTGCTAAAAACTGACTGGCTCTGGACATGAATAGCTGTGCCAACCGACAAGTCAGTTAAATATGCAGTATTGAATATACAATTCTTTATCAGTCTCTACCATACAAATGAATTCTCCACACAAGCAAAAAATAAACATACACAAACCATCAGTGTATTTGGTGAAAAAATAGTGGAGAAAAACAATTTATTGAAAAAAATTAACTTTCAGTATTTGCATTGATTATATCTGCAGATTGACATTCGTATATGATTAATTGGTTCCAAAGTTCTTTGACTGTAAGAGTAGTTGGGGACCTACTGTACTCTACTGTGCATTTATATAAGTGTGTGTGTAAATATATGTATAGTACAGTATCTAATTATTTCTTCATAGAGTAGTTCATGTGTAACAAATTACAGTAGTACAAGGTAGTCAATATCATAAACCTTAGGATTTAGCTGAATTAGTAACTAGTGTACTATATTACTCCAATACAATTTATTTCCTCTTTAGTCTCAGTTTCACCAAAGCTCTCAGCTCATGGCTTTGCTAAGCTGGCTTTATGATGCCTTTGTAGCCCCTCAGTCACCTCACGTTATTTTGTGTGTTAAACCCGTAAGGCATTTACAACACATTTTGAACATTTGGCTTTTCCCTCTTAAGTCAAATATTTCAGGAGCATTATTAACATACATCAGTTAATATAAAGCACAATTTGTGCTCAACGAATTGTTGTGACTGTCTTGCATCATTTCAAGTTATGTATTATACACATGTAGATGCTTAGAGCACAACTGGCACTTCATTTAACATTCAGAGGCACTGTTTTTCAGTTGGATATAACTTGATTTTAATAAGCAAGCAAGTGAATCCCTTATGCTGGATTTCATTTTTTGGTCATGACATTTGCTAAAGTAAAGAGACAGAATAAATGAAGTGATAATTTAGAATATCTTTAATGATATCTTCTTTTAATTGTTTTTCCACGCTGCTTTAGACGTGGAATAATGGTAAGGAAACAATCTTGTGAACTCCGTTCTTATTGTCTCTTCTTTTTATAGGAAATATTTGGTTTATTCTGTAATCAGTGGGACTGAAGACCAACGCTTATACAAAGGGTAAAATTGTTGTCGTTATGGCCATAACAAAAGCCAATGTTTTTATACTAATTAGCAATGAACTGCTTATGTTATTTACTAATATGTGATGAACAAACATGATCATCTTATTTAACTGATTCATTGTTAACAGTGTGCTTGAACTAATTAATCCAGTAATTATCTGGAATTGGGGCAGAGTGCAATAATCATGGAATACAATAGGGATCCCAATGGAGTACGTATTACTGACAATATTGAAGCAAAGTCACATTCTGCAGGACAAGCTTTTATTTGGGATAATGTTTCACTCTGACTGATAAAGCTCTAGGAGAGCAAAACATTGTTCCAGTACAAGCTTGTTCTGCAGTGTCTCTTTATTAACAGGGATGCAATAACTATCTTCATTGACTGCTGCTAGCCTGCATAACTGCTGGAAATATCCTAAAAACATTTAATGAAGCATTCAAGCTTTGGGATGGTGGTGGTGTTCTCTTGGTGCATATTTCTCCTGTAGAGTATTTGTACACTATAGCTATATTATTATTATTTGTGGGAGTTGTTTGTAACATAACTAATATAAGAAATTGTAGCTAGTTGTTTTAATGCATTGTAGTAGTTACTAGATGCATTTTATATTGAAAAGTAGTGTTTTTTAGCTTTATAATTGCACACATAAGAATGACTTTACATGATGTATTTAATGTATACTGATAATATGTATTATATATATAATAATACAGTATTACTATATTTCTTAATCATGAAATAATTTTTTGTATGCAAATTAATATATTTACTTTTTATCTTTAAGCCAGCTTACTGGCTCCTTAAAAGTGATATCTAAGGCAGGATAATGGTGACTCAAAAGCTAGCAAGTTTTAAGATTTTCATATTGGTAAATTAATTTATACTATGCTTCAATGAAAGACAGAATATAGTTGACTACATTATTTTGTTAAAAGAAGTCCTGGTGAATGTGATACAGTATTTTAAAGTGAAATATCCTCAGTATGATTGCATATTTATGTATTTTGCAGCATATTAGATGCACCTTTTACTTCACAATTTGACCCCCCCCCCTCCAAATCACCCTGCATCCTGTATTGTGAAGATCGGGCTTAGGATCTTGGTGCTCACCTATGTGGTTACAGGGTTCAGGTCTTAGTTCCAGGTCTCCTCTCAACTTGCTGCTTTCCAGATTCACACTCCTAGCCTCATGGGCCTTATTATACCTATTCTTAAAACTGCGTCAGTGGCGTTGTAAGGGGGGGGGAAGGCACGCCCCCTGGGTGACACCATAGAGCCTCTAAAGGTGACAGTGCTGTAGCAACATAGGACAAAAATCTTTCATTTCTATATAGCCTATTATGTAGAGTACAAATAGGCCTATATAGGGAAAATCATTGATTTTGATAATGTGATAGATGATTTTGTAGGATTGAAGGCAAGGAAATGTAAAATCAGATTCACTGAGATGTTACCCGTTCTCAAGGTCAAATCGGAACTAGTGTTTCACTGATATTGCATTTTTTTTTTTTTTTTTTTTTTTTTTTTGCATTGTTGAAGATAAATAAATGTAGGATCTGTTGCCTGTACTCAGTGATATTTGAGTTTGTTTCCTCAATATTACTATGATTATTTTATCATTAATAAAGTTGAGAAGTATTCTCCTGTTCGGTTTATGGCCCTTTGAACGTTGTCATTGCTAAACATTAGTCACTGGGCATGCATTAGTAATGTAACTGGAGTTTTACTTCTCCCCCTCCCCCCTCCCTTGGATTTCATGGGGGTGACACCAACCCTAGCAATGCTGCTGCTGTGCATGGAGTCTGCCTTCACTTCAAGGTCATTTCACTTTCTGACCTCCCTGAGACTGAAGAAATACTTCCAGACATCTCTGTGATGCATCTGTTTTTAGCTTCCACCTGTGCACCCTGAGTACAAGTTTCTCTTCCTCTCAAACAGCCTGTTCCTGTCTGCACTATCAAATCCTCTTAAGTATTTTGTAGCTATGCCCCTAGTGGGTTTAGCACTTTTGGTTGTAATAACAAGTATTGTGTATGTTATGTCTCCCTTAGTCCTTCTGCCCTCCAGGGTTGTCATGATTCAATTCCTTTACCCTTTCCTTGTAACTTATACCCATTTGCTTTGGAACTACTGTTTCCGTGTTATATCTGCTCTCCCAAGTGTGGGATCCATACTGGTGCTTCATACTTGATGAACCTATGTTATATACAGGACCATGAATGATTCTTTGTTGAGATCCACCTAGTTAAACAATTCAAACAACTTGAGAATGTGTGTGTATATATATATATATATATATATTGCATGCATAATTCCAGTGCATCTTGTATACTGCAAAATACAGTATAACTCCTAAAATATTTAGTAATATGTAGATAATCCAAGGAATTATTTGTAATTAAGCAACCCTCTCTTCTTTTTTCAGTGTCTCCAGTAAGCTTAGGTTTCAGTAGCTTCTCTCCAAGCCTTACAAGTAGTGAAGACGAGGTAGACGAGGCGGGTCTGAAGGATGGAGCGTCAAGAGTGGCTGGCAGACATCGATGGAGACTAGGGGCTGTTGTAGAGAATGGGAACTCCGAGGAAGATGAAGAAGAGGGAAAAATGCAAATTGATGCAAGTACCTTGAAAGGTTGCATTACTGATGGTGGAAAAATACCAGTATTCAGTGAAAATGAGCACACTAGTGGTGATGATGATGCAACAGGTGGTCCATGGAGGTACAAGGAGTTTAATAAGGAATATGAACCCTTGAAGAGTGTTCAGCTGCTTAGAAATCTAGAAAAGAATCTTAGTACGTATCTGCCCACTTATTCTACTGGGAGTGATACAGAAACGGGGGAACTTTGATCTTAACTTTTACTGAGCTGTTTTTTTTTAATATCCTTTGGGATAAATGGTGCATTTACCTTAGCATTTACCATACAAATGCATACATGTCATGTCATGTTGACTGGTTGTGTTGTAGCAATGCCATTTTGTTTCTCCCTGGTTCTTGCATAATGTATATAGATTCACATCATGAGGTCACACTCCATTTGTATGTCTACATTCCATGTTAATTTCAAGTCTTGTGTAAGAAATAATTAGGTAGCTGTTTTTCCTGAGATTAGAAAGCATCTTAGTGACTGAAATGCAAGGCTTTTAGGGCATGTAAAGTTAAGTGTGGTTCACTATTTTCATAAATTGTGACGTGTCATGAAATCCTTTTAACTGCTTTGCTTCTCTCTCTAAAATGTAATTTATGAAAAAAAATTTTTTGCCATCCAAGCATTGGGTAAAGCTTAGGCTTTCATACTGAAGAATGCAGTCTTTTTTTTTTTTTTTTTTTTTATAAATGTTTTTTTCGACTGTACTTAGCAGCTGTGCTGTGTGCTGTAGATAGTCCTTTCTACCAAAGATAAGTGGTGTATGGAATTTAGATACCCGGTAATTGTAGATTCTTCTGTAGTTGGACAGCGTTTGAGCAAGTCTCATGTTGAGCCAAGGCAGAGTAATGGTAACTCAAAAGCAAGGAGGTTTTAAGATTTTTATATTGGTAAATAAACTTAATAATGTCTACTATGCTTCAAGATGGGATGGACCCTTTTCGGTTTAGCTCTTAATTTGATATAATTATTGTTTTTGAAGATGGAAATTAAATTTACTTTAGAAACTCAACAAGTAACAAAAATTTAAGTGAGAGTTTAGATAGATTGTAGATTTACACTGTACCATTTGCTACCCTTATGGGTTTAGCACTTCATTATAATTATTATAATATAATGAAATGCTAAACCCTTAAGGGTCACACAGCAAATGATTATGATAATGTACCATTTGCTGCTCAGCAGGACATGTAATAATGTTGAGAAAATAAATAAAATGTAATGTTCCTGTTGTTTATTTTCATGTACTTCTTGCAGAAGTACTATACACCTAATTTTCAAAGGATTTCATAAACAATATTACAATGTTCACCAGTGCTGTATGACTCGGTTGGGTTTAGCACTTAATTTTGTATATAATACCAAATACTTGTCTCCAGTATTAAACAAAACAAAAAAAAAATTCAATTTTAAACTATTTTTCTTGCAATACCATGAAAACTGGGAAAAAAAAATTGTCTCAACTGAAAAATTTTCAGGTGATAATTTGATGCCCTTTGTTGCCTAGGCATTTAAAGGCCTCAATTTTCACCAAGATTATTCAGTCATTGTTGAACATGTACTTTTTTTAAATCATAATGTTGTGCAAACCATCCTTGGGAGTATTTGCAGTTAATTTTCACCAGGCTTAAAGCCTATATTACACGAGGGTCAGTAAGGCTGCATTTTACCTATACACCATTATTCAAGGATATACAGTAGACCCCCGCATAACGATTACCTCCGAATGCGACCAATTATGTAAGTGCGTTTGTACGTGTATGTTTGGGGGTCTGAAATGAACTAACCTACTTCACAATATTCCTTATGGGAACAAATTCGGTCAGTACTGGCACCTGAACATACTTCTGAGTGAAAAAATATCGTTAACCAGGGGTCCACTGTATACATCTGTCTATACTTCACACTGGATTTATGAATCGTAAGTTTCATTAAAACTTAATTGGTACTATCAACAAAATTTTGTATTAGAAATAATAGTCCTTGCAGAAAATTTAAACCCATTGTTTCGGCACAAAATATACTAAAAACCTTTGTTTAGGTTCCATAAAATGTAGTGCCTCCTTAAAAAGTACTGTGTGAACATTATGAAGTTAAGCCTTCAATATGGAGGTCAACACTGAATATATATACAATACAGAAAATATATATTTTATAAATTAGTTTGCTCTTCATAACACGTTAAAAAAAAAAAACACTACGGGATTGCGGCAGCTTCAAAAAAAAAAAAAATTTTTTTTTTTTTTTTTTTTTTTTTTTGTTGCTAGAGTTCAGTTGAAAAACTTGCTTCAAAGCAAGTCACATACAGTGGAACCTCGGATTTCATCCGCCTACTACGTGCGCACACGAAGTCTCCAACACACACATTCTCAGTGAGTGACCATTACTCTGCGCATTCATACGAAACATTTCGTAATAGTGGTCCCTCGCTTTTCGTAGTTCCCGGCAATCGTAAATTTCGCCAATCATAGAGGTATTTTCGTATAAACATGGACTCGCTTTTCATAAGTTGACTTGCGAGTCGTAGTTCGTCCGGAACGCGTACCCACGGCGTGAGCCGTGGCGGCAGCCAGTCTGGCATTGTTTACCAGTGAGCGAAGGTCCCCTCACGTGCTCCAGTGAAATATTTCATAATCCATTTATTTTAGTGCTTGCAAGTACTAAATAAGCTACCATGGCTCCAAAGGAAGCTCCTAGTGCCAAGCCTGTGGTAAAGGAGGTGAGAAATACGATTGAATTTAAGAAAACCATCATTGAACAATATGAAAGTGGTACAAGTGTGGCCGAACTGGCCAGGGTGTATAAGAAACCCTACACAACCATATGTTCCATAGTGGCCAAGAAAAAGGAAACCAAGGCTGCTGTTGTTGCAAAGGGGGTAACTATGCTGACAAAAATGAGATCACCAGTACTCGAAGAGGTTGAGAAGTTATTATTGGTGTGGATAAATGAGAAACAATCAGCATGAGATACTCTTATGACTTCGATTATTTGTGAAAAGGCTAGGCAGTTGCATGACGATTTGGTAAAGAAATTGCCTGCAAATAGTGGTGATGAGTGAATTTAAGGCCAGCAAAGGCTGGTTTGAGAGATTTAAGAACCGTACTGGCATACACAGTGTGGTAAGGCTGCCAGTTCGGACCACAAGGCGGCTGAAAAATATGTGCATGAATTCCAGGAGTATATAGAGGCTGAAGGACTGAAACCTGAACAAGTGTGACGAAACAGGCCTCTTTTGGAAGAAAATGCCAGAGGACCTTCATTACACAAGAGGAAAAGGCAATGCCCGGACACAAGCCTATGAAAGACAGGCTGACACTAATGTTCTGTGCTAATGCTAGTGGAGATTTCAAAGTGAAGCCATTACTAGTGTACCATTCTGAAAATCCCAGAGTGTTCAAGAAAAACAATGTTATGAAGAGTAAATTGTGTGTGTTTTGGAAATCTAATAGTAAGGCATGGGTCACGAGGGAAATTTTCGTCGAGTGGTTCAATGAAGTGTTTGGCCCTAGTGTGAAGGAGTATCTCCTGGAAAAGAAATTGGATCTCAATTGCCTGCTAGTAATGGACAATGCACCTGCTCATCCTCCAAACTTGGATGACCTAATTTTCGAGGAGTTTGGTTTCGTCACAGTAAAGTTCTTGCCCCCGAATACCACTCCTCTCTCCAGCCCATGGGCCAGCAGGTCATTGCAAACTTTAAAAAAAACTACACAAAAGCAATGTTTCACAGGTGCTTGACTGACCACAGACACTTGACCCCAAGGGAATTTTGGAGAGAACACTTCAGCATCCTCCACTGCATAACCCTTATAGGTATGGCTTGGGAGGGAGCGACTACCAGGACTTTGAACTCTGCCTGGAGAAAATTGTGGCCAGATTGTGTCGACAAGAGGGATTTTGAAGGGTTTGGGACTGACCCTGATGAGCCTATGTCTGTTGTAAAATCAATTGTGGCACTGGGGAGCTCCATGGGGTTGGATGCGAGTTTGGAGGATGTGGAAGAATTGGTGGAAGACCACAACGAAGAGCTCACCACTGAGGAGCTTCAGCAGGAAGAGCAACACATCGCAGCTCAGAATCTTGCTGCAGAGGAAGAGAGATGGAAGAAGGTGCCTTCTTCAGAAATTAAAGAGATTTTTACTATGTGGGGTAAGATGGAAAGCTTTATGGAGAAACATCACCCTAACAAGGTTGTTGCAAGCCATGTTGGCAACATGTACAGTGACAAAGTCTTGGGCCATTTTAGGGAAGTGTTAAAGAGAAACAGAGTTCTCTCCACAGTTATTTTGCGAGACAGGACTCCAGCGACTCTCAAGGTTGTCCTAGTAGCATTAAGAAACAGAGAAGACAAGCAACCCCAGAAAAGCAATTGGTACCTGAGGTGTTGCTGGAAGGGGATATAAACAATCCACTCTCTCTCCTCCTCCAGTCTCCCATACACTAAGAAGAATCTCCAATAAAGGTAAGTGTTATGCTGTTAATGTTTCATTCATCATTTCCCATTGTATTGTTTATGTACTACATGTATATTTCATGTAAAAAAATTTTTTGTTTTAATACTTCTGGGTGTCGGAACGGATTAATTATATTTACATTATTTCTTATGGGGAAATCTGATTCACAAATCATAAATTTCTTTTATAGTAGCTCCTCCAGGAATGGATTAATTACGAAAAACGAGGGACCACTGTAATCTATTTTTTGTGCGACTGCAAAATAAGCCACCATGGAGCCAAAGAATGTTCCAAGTGCCAGTCCTTTGATAAAGAAGATGAGAAACATGATAGAATTCAAGAAAGAACTTGTTAAAAAGTATGAAAGTGGCATACATGTAGTCAATCTCGCGAGGATGTACGGAAAGTCCTCGCCAACGATCAGTTCCATGCTGGCGAAGAAATCAAGGAAGCTGATGTAAAATGGGAGTGTGCGCTAATGAAACAGAGATCGCAAATTGTCAAAGAAGGTGAGTTGTTAGTTTTGAAACAATGAAAAACAGTTAGTGGGGAGAATGTGCCGTCTTCAGCAATTAAGGACATTTGTGCAAAGCGGAGTGAGGTGCAAAGTTTTGTGGAGAAATATCACCCTAACAAAGCTGTTGCAGGCCATGTCTGCAACATGTCCCATTTTAGGCAAATCTTAAAGAGAACAGAGCTCTCCAGGCAGATTTTTTTGTGTGACAGGGGTACAGCGACTCTTAAGCTGGTCCTAGTGCCAGTAAAAGACAAAGGTAAGTAACCCCGGATAGGGGTTACTTTTATTTGGAAGAGGATTCCCCTTCCAAACAATAACCTCTCCCCTCCTCGCCGTATTCAACAAGCCAACAAGTCTTCAATAAAGGTAAATGAGATGTTAAATGTTCATTTATCATTAAAATTAGTCATTTATATTTATTTCTGCATGTAAAACTATATTTATTCTCTATAAAATGTATTTTTTGTTAATACTTTTGGGTGTCTGGAACGATTAATTGGATTTATATTATAGGTAATATTGCTTCAGTTTTTGTCGAATTTGGTTTTCGTCTGACTCTCTGGAACAGATTAAAAACGAAAACCGAGGTTCCACTGTACATTTAATATATAGGAACTCTTGGACAACAATTAAATGATTAGAAGCATTCATCCCAAATAACCAGATACTGTGCCCCATCCTTAAAGTTTAGATATACGTACTTGCATAAATTATAAGTGAATTTAATATTATCGTAGTATTATTGCCGATTCTTCTTGGTGCGAGGCTTAGGCTTGAACTTTGTCCTGATAGAGTCATTAAATCCCTCCCTATTGCGAGCAATCTCGATACAGAAAAACTGTATGCGAGTAACAAGGATTGTATTAGATTCAGAATATTCATCCTCACTGTCTATGCGTACGAGAGTGGCAAAGCTATAGTCTTCGATTTCCTTCTCAAAGGCCATACAAAATGGTCTCCATTTCTGTAAAAAAAAAAAAAAAAATTATATACCACACAGATTATGTACATAAACTAGTTTTTTTTTTTTTTTAACACTCCAGCTGCCTCCCACCAAGATAGGATGACCTGACAATGCAGAAAACACTTTCATGTCACTCATTTAATCACCGTCTTGCTAGAAGGGCACCAACATGACCCTCCAACTCCACCCCTCCTTTAGAGCGCAGGCACTGTACTTTACACTTCCAGGACTAAAGAGTCCGGCTTAACCGGTTTCCTGGTTAGCCCAGACTTTAGTCCTGGATAATAGCCTGAGATGAAGCTTTCCAGCATCATCTCAGGGTATTACTGCTTGCAGCATGTAAGCTCACAGCCATCACAAAAGTTCAAAATATTTAATACCAGGCTAGTAAGAGTAAGGATACATAAAATCTGCAAACATCAGGAACTACAGTACCTGCATACAGGAAGAAATGCCCCAAAAACTATAATCAAAAAAAGCGCTAAACTACAGGGTCATACCAAAGCCCCCAAAAATTGCACTCTTGTTTTGCTGATAACTATCACAAGAAACTATAAACTATTTAATTTTATTAATACTTACCCTCTTTACTGAGACCATCTTACATCTATGACATGCAAATAAATTTTCTAATGTATAACCAAGTAAAATTTAAATAGGCAAAATTAAGACAAAATGAGCACGTAAATATAAATGCCACTAGAAATAAGTCTTAGATAAACCAAACAGTTATGAACATTTTTTTTTGCAAGTGTTGATTAATGGCTCCATTGGAAATGTTATTAACTAGGCTTAGAGAGTTATGGCAAAAATAACATTGGTAACTGCTTTTGAAACTTGTCCAGCTCCCTCCTGAAGGCCTCTACAGCACTTTCATTCTGATTATATTTCTTATGTCCATTATAATAATAATAATATAATATAATCTTTATTTACTACAAGTACATGTACAAGGTATACAGCCCTAGCTGACAACAATGACATACTACTACATAGAAAGCCACTTGTTATGCTGAGCATGTCGGGCAAATTAGGTCAGTGTCCCAGGATGCGACCCACACCAGTCGACTAACACCCAGGTACCCATTTTACTGATGGGGAACATAGACAACAGGTGGAAAGAAACACGCCCAATGTTTCTACTCTGGCTGGGAATCGAACCCAGGCCCTCGCCGTGTGAAGCGAGAGCGTTAACCACCAGGCCACCAGAAGGTTGGAAGAATTGTGGACTTCTGTTAACACAGTATTCTCCAATTGTATTTATGCATGCCTGGCTCACTTTACACTTCCTTCTATATCTTTCACTCCAGTAAGATGATCTTTCTTTCTTTCAACACACCAGCCGTATCCCACCGAGGCAGGGTGGCCCAAAAGGAAAAATGAAAGTTTCTCCTTTTACATATAGTAATATATACAGGAGACGGGGTTACTAACCCCTTGCCCCTGGCATTTTAGTTGCCTCTTACAACACACATGGCTTATGGAGGAAGAATTCTGTTCCACTTCCCCATGGAGATAAGAGGAAATAGACAAGGACAAGAACTAGAAAGAAAATAGAAGAAAACCCAGAGGGGTATGTATATATATGCTTGTACATGTATGTGCAGTGTGACCTAAGTGTAAATAGAAGTAGCAAGACATACCTGAAATCTTGCACGTGTATGAGACAGAATAAAAAGACACCAGCAATTCTACCATCATGTAAAACAATTACAGGCTTTCGTTTTACACTCACTTGGCAGGACGGTAGTACCTCCCTGGGCCGTTGCTGTCTACCAACCTACTACCTAGGAGTCACATAGATATAACAGATATATAGGTACATGACTCTGAATTGGTATATATACAAGTTGCAATTTTTTTTTTTGCGATTGCATAACGAATATTTAAACGACAAGATAAGGTGGTAATCTGGACAGTTCGTAAAGAATTACTTGACACGTTAGCTTCTTTCAAGGTGGTGTCCCACCATAGTAAATGTAGCATATTTATAACAGTAGATGTAGAAGTAGAAGTGTTATGTAAGATATCTCCCTAATTAGGGGTGATAATTTTCTTAGTAGACATAGAAGGGTTCTGGTGTTACCCAATCATCTTCATCTGCAGGGAGGTTGCTCAAGATCATTGGTCGATGGTAATCGTCTTTATGGATGAAGCGACGCACCCTCTGTGGGAGAGTCATTCTTTGGGTCCTGTGAGGAGTATTAATGATATAGTCAGTGGTATTTTCAACTTGGAGAGGATGTTCTCTATCTGGTATGTAGAGTTCTTGCATTGCATTGAGTTCTCTCTCCTTCAGCATATCAAGGCGTACATTTAAGGCAGTAATATCCTGTTGTACATGTAAATCTGCCATTTTGACTGTCTCTCCTCCTGGTACCCGTAATAAAGCGGAGAGCTCTATTCTGGACCCGTTGCAACTTTAGCATGTTGGTCTTTGTTGTTAACAACATTGGGACACATGGGTATTCGAGTATTGGTCTTATCATCATTTTATACAGATGTTTTTTGACATGTGGAGGGGCTTGATTGAATCTAAAGAGACTGCTAAGACCGGCTTTGGCTATGTTGATCTTTTTACTGACTTGAGTTGTTGAGTGGAGCAGCCAGTCTATTTCACATCCCAAGATCTTGTTAGGATTTCTAATGGCGCTACAGGTGTACCTCTGATGGAGATACCCCACTTATCTTCGATGGTTGATGCAAAACATCCTATCGTGCTAACCAGGACTTTGTCAGGGTTAGTCGTAATTCTCCATTTCTTTTCCCAATTGGATGTTTGACGAAGTTCAATATTCATTTTTTCTATGACTCTTTCATATTTGTATTTTCCCGTTACAGGAGTTGACGAGACGACATGGATAACATCATCTGCAAATTGTGTTATAATTGTATCATTAAACTCTGGTTGAGGAAGATCATTCACATAAATGTTGAATAGAATTGGACTAAGACAAGAACCTTGTGGGACACCAGCTGTCGGTATAAAAGGCTCTGTTGACTTGCCATGAAAGGTAGGAATGATTTTTCTTTGAGTTAAGGAGTTATATATAAATCTGAGAAATGTCCAGTTATGGTCAGGTAGGTCAATAAGTTTGTATATAAGACCATCATGCCATAAGCTATCAAAAGCTTTATGAACATCTCTGGTGGCAATTAGGGCAAGATTGCCCTGATGTTTCAGACTCGCTACAGTATCAAAAATAATATTTATTGCATGATGGGTACCTCTATATGTCCTAAAGCCAAACTGTTTTTCAGTAAAAAGGTGATTAAACTCCATATAGTAGTTCAGTCTGTTGGAAATGATCTTTTCAAGAACTTTCCCAGTGACTTCAAGTAAGGATATAGGTCTATAGTTTTCTGGTTGATGGAAGTTTTTATTGGGATTAGCAAGAAAGATCATCCCAACAGTCTTAAAAACCACTGGGAAATGTCCGGAGGCCAGGATGGCATTACAGATATTAACCGAAGACTGTTTACAATTTCTGGGTAGGAACTTTATTTGTTTCATTGTTATTCCAGAGAGACCAGGGGAGGCAGAGAGTAGGTACGGATTAGAGTTGAAAACATACTGACACATATTGTATGTTATAATAAAATAATCAAATATTACATGTCTCATATCTTTAAACCTATAGGCAATTCGCAATTTTCAAGGTGACATTTGGATTAAAGCCATGAAAATACATAAGAATTAACTAATCTCATTGAAGAAGCATACAGCTTTTCAAAAATTGTTGACCAATGTATAGTTAGCAACCATTATCTAACAAATATCTCTAGAATAACAGTTCTTTCCTTGTAAAAAATGTTATCAAAATCTGTACTCAAAGATACAGGTAACATACCTTTCTTGAATGTTGATATATAATTAATAACTCAAGTTTTTAAGGCATTATACTATAAAACAGTAATAAAAACTACATGCAAAACCTGTCATTATTAGCATTATCACATTGTTCTATATCAACAATCAATGTAACAAATATGAAGAAAGATAGCATAACAAAAGCACCAAGTATATTTATTATTTACAAATGATGTACATCAAGGATTTTTTGAAATCCCAGTAGATACTATCCCATTAAAACAAGAACTCTAAAAATAATATAAAGCTATAATACTACTAACCTCTTTTGCATCTGGACTTTTGAGATCATTTTCCACCAACTTTCCAACATTAAAATCTGGAAACTCTTTTCTGAAGGAACTATAGATTACATCATCTTTTGGGGTAAGCTTCAGAAGCCGAGGATCAACTGCGCACAGGAGCTATTGCAATAAAAAGGATATTTTGTCATAGGTGGTCATTTACTAAAATAATAACATTTACAAGATGTAATTGCAAAATAGGAAACTTGAATTTCTACAACACTGATCTAGATATAGTTGAACTCCTCACAAATATGTGCAATTGTAGGATGCTTCTAGAAATTCACGGCAATACACCAAAAATTCCTTCAGTGTCCTATGCATGTTACATTACAAATCTCCCTACTATTTGTTGACTGTAAGCTGCAAAAACTGATTCAGTAAATTAAAGCCTGTACACACAAACCTGAGGCCATCAATGAGAAAATTATATCAGTGATCTAAAAGTTTGATTAATGGATGGATGATCAAGCCTTCATCATTCCATAGAGATTTAGCACTTTATATGAAATTAGCAATCAGTGAAGAGGCAGGGCCAGGAGCTGAGTCTTGACCCCTGCAACCACAATTAGGCGAGTACACTGGCCGTTTCCCACTGAGGTATGGTAACCCGAAAAAGAAGAAAGACTTTCCTCACTCACTGTCACTGTCTTGCCAGAGGTGCACCAATACTACAGTTCAGATGCAATGCCCTCCGAACTACAAATATCACCACCCTTCCTCCAGAGTGCAGGCATTGTACTTCCCACCTCCAGGAATTAAGTCTGACTAACTGGTTTAACTGAATCCCTTCATAAATGTTACCTTGCTCACACTCCAACAGCAAGTGAAGTCATAAAACCCACCTGCGTCCACCCACTCCTATCTAATGTACTCGCACATGCTTGGATGTCTAGGCCCCTTGCATACACAACCTCCTTTACCCCCTCCCTCCAACCTTTCCTTGGAGAACCTCTACTCTGCCTTCCTCCCCACTACATATTTATACACCATCCAAGTCATCCTATTTTGTTCCATCCACTCTATGTACAAATAACCTCAACAACCACTTCTCATCCCTCAGGATAATACTTTTAGTAACTCCACACCTTTTAATCTTCAAATTGCGAATTCTCTGAATAATATTTACACCACACACTGGCCTCAGATATGACATCTCCATTGCCTTCAACCTCTTCCTTGCTGCAACATTCACAAACCATGCTTCACACCCATATAAAAGTGTTAGTACCACTATACTCTCATACATTCCCCTTATTGCCTCTATGGACATAGATACTTCAATTCACCACTCGTCTTTTTTTCCCTCATCAATTCTATGGTTCACTTTGTCTTTCACAGACCCATCCACAGATATGTCCACTCCCAAATACCTGAACATTCACTTCCTCCATACTCTCTCCTTCCAATCTGATATTCAATCTTTCATAACTTAAATTTTTTGTTACCCTCATCACCTTCCTCTTTCCTATGTTCACTTTTAATTTCCTTCTTTTATATACCCTCCTAAATTCATCCACCAACCTTTGCAACATCATTTCAGAATCTCCCAAAAGCAGTGTCAGCAGCAAACATCAACTGTGACAACTCCCACTTTGTGTTAGATTTTTTATCTTTCAATCCCACACCTCTTCCCAATACCCTGGCATTCACTTCTTTTACAATCCTGTCTATAAATATGTTTAACAACCATAGTGACATCACAAATCCCTGTCTTTGACCTACTTTTACTGGAAAATAAACTCCCTCTGTCATATACAAGGTCCAACAAAAAAAAAAAAAAATGAAACTAATTCTACAGCTCGGGAACCAAGAGTGGGAGGAGAAAAACAAAGATAGGATTATAGAACATGTTCTAACCTGTCACAGTGAGATAGGGCTCAAGTCGATCGTGTTACTCAGTACGAGTGGATGCGCATTCAAATAGATATTTTCTTACCCTTGGTCATAAAATGTCGGAGTGCAAAGGCTAACAGCGAGTTAACATCAAGTTCCTTGTGAAACTAAAGTAATCCGCAATGGAAACTTTTCAATTATTGACTGAGGCTTACAGTGAAGAGTGCATGTCTCTTGCATGCATTTTTGAATGGCACAAATCATTTTCTGAAGGCAGAGAAAGCATGAAAGATGATGATAGCCCAGACTGCCCATGCATAGCAGTAGTTTGAAGTTCAAGGCCATGGTGATTGTTTCCTTTGACATCCAGGGTATTGTGATTGCAGAGTGGGTTCCCAGCAGCTAGATGGTAAATCAGCAGTATTATATTGAAGTCTTGATGAAATTGTGCAAATGCATAAGAAGCAAATGACTGGAATTGTGGAGAAACTGGTGGATTTTGCACCAAGACAACACACCAGCCTACAACTTTGTCTGTGAAGCAGTTTTTAGTAAATAAAAACATCACAGTGCTTGAGCACCCACCCTATTTGCCAGACCTGGCTCCCTGCTACTTCTACCTCTTCCCAAGGATCAAGTCAGTGCTCAAAGGAACCCATTTTTTGTCGGTGGAAGATGTAAAAGCAAAAACTATAGAGATCCTCAACAGCCTTTCAGAAAATAATCTGCAGAATTGCTTTGAATGTCGGCAGCATCATATTCAGGTACATGTCAACTCAGAAGGGAAACTATTTTGAAGGTGATTGTAGCTGATTTTCTTAATTCGTTTAAAAAAAAAAAAGTTACAGGCACAGTCAACCTACTATTTTCACCGTAGCTACAACTAAACCATGATCTGATATATCTGTTGCCCCTCCATAAACATGCACATCCAGAAATCTAAACAGTATAGAATAGGAGACAGAAAAGTTCAACTTAACTAAGTCATTCATCACCTCTCAGAAGCTAAGGCCAAAAGAGTTGCTCTGCAACTTTTCCAGAATATACAGTGGACCCCTGGATTGCATAATTAATCTGTTCCAGAGAGAGTGACTTATCCCGAATCTGACTTATTCCGAATTAATTGTCCCCATAAGAAATAATGGAAATCCAATTACAGTGGACCCCCGCATAACGATGGCATCACATAGCGATTATTTCGCATACCGCTTACTTTAATCGCAAAAATTTTGCCTCACATACCGCTTAAAAACCCGCTTACCGATTTTCGTCCGAGACGCGGCCTGAGCCACGCTCACATGTTCCGCCGGTGGCATTGTTTACCAGCCAGCCTCCGCGGTAACATCCAAGCATACAATCGGAATATTTCGTATTATTACAGTGTTTTCGGTGCTTTTTCTGGAAAATAAGTGACCATGGGCCCCAAGAAAGCTTCTAGTGCCAACCCTACAGCAATAAGGGTGAGAATTACAATAGAGATGAAGAAAAAGATCATTGATAAGTATGAAAGTGGAGTGCATGTCTCCGAGCTGGCCAGGTTGTATAATAAACCCCAATCAACCATCGCTACTATTGGTGGTACAGCTGCTGCTGCTGCTGCACTGTCAGCTGCTGCTGCTGCTGTAGCACCGTTGTTGGTGTGGCTTATTGAGAATACCAAGAAACAATTAACCCCAGAGGATTTGCCACCCAGGATAACCCAAAAAAGTCAGTGTCATCGAAGACTGTCTAACTTATTTCCATTGGGGTCCTTAATCTTGTCTCCCAGGATGCAACCCACACAAGTCGACTAACACCCAGGTGAACAGGGAAAAATGCCTGGAACTAGTGCTCATATTGGTGAATTTAAAGCCAGCAAAGGTTGGTTTGAGAGATTTAAGAATCGTAGTGGCATACACAGTGTGATAAGGCCTGTTCTGGAAGAAAATGCCAAACAGGACCTACAGTACTCAGGAGGAAAAGGCACTCCCAGGACACAGTGTCTCATCAGTCATTGCTGCATCTTCAATAAAGGTAAGTGTCATTTATTCTTCATTTAGTAGACTAGTACATGCACAATATATACTGTGCATGTACTACTCTACTATTGTGCATGTATCCTTCTCTTTGTGTGTGGGAAAATGTATATTTCATGTGGTAAAATTTTTTTTTTTTCATACTTTTGGGTGTCTTGCACGAATTAATTTTATTTCCATTATTTCTTATGGGGAAAATTCATTCACATAACGATTATTTCGCATAACAATTACCCCTCTTGCACGGATTAAAATCGTTAACCGGGGGTCCACTGTAATCCGTTTCAGGCACCCAAAAGTATTAAAAAAATATTTTCTACATAAAATATACATTTACCTACACAGAAAACAATGATACATGAAGAATAAAACAATAATAACATCGCACTTACCTTTATTGAAGACATGGGGATGTATGGAAGACAGGAGGAGGGGAGAGGATGGAGGAGTTTACAATTGTCTGGAAAGGGAATCCCCTTCCATAAAGACTTTAGGTGCCAAGTCCTTATCCTGGGTTACTTCCCTTCTTTGTTTTTTAATGCCACTAGGACCAGCTCGAGAATCGCTGGACCCCTGTCGCTCAAAAAAGTGTTCCAGAGAGGTCTGTGTCTGGCGTATGTTAGGAATTGTGCTGGGAGACTGGACGAGATAGTCCTTCAATATGACACTAATGTCAGATTTACGGCTTATTTATCTAGCACAATTCATCTAATATGACATAATAAACTATATTAATAACATAGAAACATGATATATATTCTAGAATGAAAAAAATATGGCATTAAGAATGTCATGAGTGGTGGTGTGTTTTGTTGTTGGGTGTATAAGGGCCATTGAAAGATGAGCCTTACATAGTGGTGGTGAAAGCGGCAGCAGAGGCGATGGTGTTAGTCAGTAGCCCTATATACCTCCAACAGCAATGGAGTTTACTTGGAGAGGGTTTCGGGGGTCAACGCCCCCACGATCCGGTCTGAGACCAGGCCTCATGGTGGATCAGGGTCTGATCAACCAGGCTGTTACTGCTGGTTGCATGCAAGTTGATGTACGAACTACAGCCCGGTTGGTCAGGTGCTGACTTTAGGTGCCTGTCCAGTGCCTTCTTGAAGACAGCCAAGGGTCTACTGGCAATCCCCCTTATGTATGCTGGGAGGCAACTGAACAGTCTTGGGCCCCAGACACTTATTGTGTTGTCTCTCAGTGTACTCATGGCCCCCCTGCTTTTCATCGGGGAAATGTTGCATCTCCTGCTGAGTCTTTTGCTTTCATAGGGAGTGATTTTCATGTGCAGGTTTGGCACCAATCCCTCCAGGACCTTCCAAGTGCATATTATCATGTACATGTATCTCTCTCATGTATCTCTCTCGCCTGCATTCAAAGGAATACAGATCAAGGACCTTCAACCGTTCCCAGTAGTTTAGGTGCCTTATTGTACTTATGTGTGCCGTGAAAATTCTTTGTACACTCTCCAGGTCTGCAATATCGCCAGCCTTGAAGGGGGCCATTAATGTATAGCAGTGTTCCAGCATAGAGCACAAGTGATTTGAAGAGAATCATCGTGGGCTTGGCGTCCCTAGTTTTGAAGGTTTTCATTATCCATCCTATCATTTTCCTAGTGGATGAGGCAGATACATTGTTCTGGTCTCTGAAGGCGAGATCCTCTGACATTATTACTCCCAGGCCCTTAACATTACTTTTCCGCTCTATTGTATGGTTAGAATTTGTTGTATACCCTGACACATTTTTAATTTCTTCAAGTTTCCCATATCTGAGTAGTTGAAATTTCTCCTCATTGAACTTCATATTGTTTTGAGTGGCCCATTTGAAGATTTGGTTGATGTTCGTTTGGAGTCTTGCGGTGTCTTCGATGAAGGTCACTGCCATGGTAATCCGGGTGTCATCTGCAAAGGAAGACACGGAGCTATGGCTTACATCTCTGTCTATGTCAGAAATGAGGATGAGGAATAGAAGGAGTCAGTTTCGTGCTGTCCTTTTTCTATCGATTAACTGCTTAACTTACTTGCTACACTGTTAATGCTACACTTTATCGCTGGCTGGCGTTATAGCCTTTATCGACTCCTGCTGCTTTAGTATCGTACATATTGCAGAATCACTGAAAAAGGCACATTCTCCCCTCTCTCTCAACCCTTTACCAAAGGACTGGCTGGCACTTGAAGCTTTCTTTGGGCCCATGGTGGCTTATTTAACAGTTACAAGCACTATAAAGAATGGAATATTACAAAATGCATCGTATGAACTCGTGGGATCGTCCTCACTGGCTGGTAAACAATGGCACACTGGCTGTACATGGAGTATTGGGGACGCTCAGGCTGTGTGGACATGTTCCAGACGAATAACTTATACCGAGCTCAGTGATGTTCACCGAGCCAATATTTTGACGAAAAAACGTTACTTATTCTGAATATTACTTATTCCGATGATTACTTAATCCAGGGGTCCATTGTATTTGTTAAATAATCTCTCAAACTAATTTCTTTTCAGACTATAAACCTGTCTGCTGAATTAAATCTTCTTTCAGCAAACTGGCTGTATCCCACTGAGGCAGGGTGACCCAAAAAAGAAAAAACAAAAGTTTCTCTTTTTCTTTCTTCTTTCAACAAACTGGCTGTATCCCACCAAGGCAGGGTGGCCCAAAAAAGAATAACGAAAGTTTCTCTTTTTAAATTTAATAATTTATAGAGGAGAAGGGGTTACTAGCCCCTTGCTCTGGCATTTTAGTTGCCTCCTACGACACACATGGCTTACAGAGGAAGAATTCTTCTACTTCCTCATGGAGATAAGAGGAAGTAAGAAAATAGAAGAAAACCCAGAGGTAGGTAGGTAGGTAGGTAGGTGTGTGTGTGTGTGTGTGTGTGTGTGTGTGTGTGTGTGTGTGTGTGTGTGTGTGTGTGTGTGTGTGTGTGTGTGTGTGTGTGTGTGTGTGTGTGTGTATATATATATATATATATATATATATATATATATATATATATATATATATATATATATATATATATATATATATATATATATATATATATATATATATATATATATATATATGCGCTTGTACATGTACATATGTGTAGTGTGACCTAAGTGTAAGTAGTAGTAGTAAGATGTACCTTAAATCTTGCATGTTTATGAGACAGAGAAAAGACACCAGCAATTCTACCATTATGTAAAACAATTACAGGCTTCCATTTTACACTCGCTTGGCAGGACGGTAGTACCTCCCTGGGCGATTGCTGTCTACCAACCTACTACCTAGAGATCCCAACTATATAAAATTAATATGACACTACTCTCTTAAAGTAGACAAAAGCTCTGAATTAGAACTTTCATAAATTAAAATTCAGACGTTTTCAATGTTATTTTCAAAGTTCAAGATCTTGGATATTATCCTGACCTGGGATCAATAACAATGGTGCTCAGGGGCAGCTGCTAACAGCTTTCTTAATAACCAGAGAAAGATGCTTCCTTCCAGCTCTTCTGAAGACAGGGTCAGGGGTAAAGAGGCTGATTGCAGAATTTCCACTGTTCATCTTTCAATCATGTGTCAATCCAGTGTTTTAAATACCTTAGCAAGAAATGCCCGAAATGCTCAGCATAACAAGGGGCTTTCTATATAGAAAAAGAAAAAAAGGCTAGTAAATTTGCCAGGCAAGAAGCATGTTGAGCAGACATTAACAAACTACTGTACTACAATCGCGATCATCCCAACCAAACCTTTACATTCAATATACTATACAGTAATTTTACTTACATTAAAATGAATTTCAGAATGTTCCATTGCCTTCATGGCCCAGAGTTCCTCCATGGTGGACTGGAAAAAAAAATTAGGAAGTGTATACACACAAAGGATAACAGGCAAAGTATTACAGTGGATAAGAGATTCTGTTTGATAGTAACATAAAAACAGTAATAAGAGGAAAAAATGTCCTGATGGGCACCACAATGATAGTTACATATTCAATTATACTCTGAATTTATAAAAATGACAGATGTACCAAAATGCATAAAAAAACTACAAGAGAATGTTGTGTATAATGTAAAAACTGTGTGCAAAATATGCAGTAAAAAGAACTACAAATCTCTGATAAATGAAACACTTGTGCAACATTTGGGTATCTATTCTGGAAAGGTCTTGCCACACAGGGGTTTCTTCAGTCCAATGCAGAAAAAAGTGAACCAAAAAAGCCATTGTGTGGCAAAAAGTTTCCAGAACAAAGATACTCAAATGTTGCACAAGTGTCATTTATCAACTTGTAGGTTTTGTAAACCATTTATTCACTATAGATCTCTACAAGACTACACAAACTGAGCAAATGGAGTGAGAGATGAAAAATGGAATTTAATGTACAGTAATAGTGTTATATAAAAAGAAATGGAGAAAAAGCAGTAATAAACCACAAAAATATAGAGTGGCCACACTATCTTATTAATCCTTTGACTGTCGCGACCCCAAATCATAAAGTGTGTCTCTGTGTAGCAAAATTTGAGAAAAAAAAAAAAAAAAAAAAAATTATGAAATGATAGTAAACCTTTTCCCAATGTTAATGACACCAAAAGTACGAAATTTGATGGAAAACTTACAGAATTACACTCTCATAAAGTTAGCGATCTCGGCGATGTTTATGCATCAGTGATTTCACCCACTTTGAGCCCTATTTTCGGCCAATTCCATTGTTCTAGTCTAACAAACTCATAGCTATTTCTTTAGAAGTCCATTTGTTCTATCGATCGAGTACAAGAAACCACCCAGTTACCGATATCAACTACGTACCCAACAAAGTGGTCATAAATTGGCAATTTGGCCAATGTCACACATTAAAAAAGATGCCAATTTCAAAATAGGGTCCAGAATGAACAATGCAGACATTCCTGGCACTAAGAGAGTTCTGGAAAGATCATTTTAATATCCTCCATTTCATAAACCTTATTGGTAAGGCTTGGGAGAGAGCAACTTTCAGGGCTTTGAACTCTGCTTGGAGGGTGACCCAAAAAAAAAGAAAATCCCCAAAAAGAAAATACTTTCATCATCATTCAACACTTTTACCTTACTCACACAAAATCACTGTCTTTCCAGAGGTGCCCAGATACAAGAGTTTTGAAGCATATATAAAGATATATAACATACCCTTCCAAGTAAGTCCCATTTCCAGTACTCAAGTCTGGCTATATAAAAATATCCAGTTTCCCTGAATCCCTTCACTAAATATTACCCTGCTCACACTCCAACAACTCGTCAGGTCCCAAAAACCATTTGTCTCCATTCACTCCTATCTAACACGCTCACATATGCTTGCTGTAAGTCCAAGCCCCTCGCCCACAAAACCTTCTTTACCCCCTCCCTCCAACCTTTCCTGGGATGACCCCTACCCCGCCTTCCTTCCCGTACAGATTCATACACTCTCCAAGTCATTCTACAGTGGACCCCCGCATAACGATGGCATCACATAGCGATTTTTCCGCATACCGCTTACTTTTATCGCAAAATTTTTGCCGCGCATACCGATTAAAAACCCGCTCACCGATTTTCGTCCGAGACGCGTCCAATGTGCCCTCAGCCAGCCTCACATGTGCCGCCCGTCCCATTGTTTACCAGCCAGCCTCCGCGGTAACATCCAAGCATACACTCGGAATATTTCGTATTATTACAGTGTTTTCGGTGCTGTTTCTGGAAAATAAGTGACCATGGGCCCCAAGAAAGCTTCTAGTGCCAACCCTGTGGTAAAAAGGGTGAGAATTAGTATGGAAATTAAGAAAGATTTTGAAGGGTTTGGGGCTAACCCTGAGAAGCCTATGCCAGTTGTGGAATCCATTGTGCCTACTTCAAAGATTAAGGAAATGTGTGCACAGTGGGTTGAACTGCAAACCTTTATGGATGAAAATCACCCTGACACAGCTGTTGCAAGCCGTGCTGGTGACTATTTCAATGACAATGTTGTGGCCCATTTTAGACAAATCGTAAAGGAACGGGAGGTACAGAGCTCTATGGACAGATTTGTTGTGCGACAGAGGTCCAGTGACTCTCAAGCTGGTCCTAGTGGCATTAAAAGAAGAAGGGAAGTAACCCCGGAAAAGGACTTGCTACCTCAAGTCGTAATGGAAGGGGATTCCCCTTCTAAACAGTAAGAAGATAATGCTCTCCCCTCCTCCCATCCCATCAATCATCACCAGATCTTCAATAAAAGTAAGTGTCATGTAAGTGTGCATGCCTTTTTCAGTTTGTGTGTATTAAAATTAATATTTCATGTGGTAAAAAAAATTTTTTTTCATACTTTTGGGTGTCTTGCACGGATTAATTTTATTTCCATTATTTCTTATGGGGAAAATTCATTCACATAACGATTATTTCGCATAACAATTACCCCTCTTGCACGGATTAAAATCGTTAACCGGGGGTCCACTGTACTTTGATCCATTCTCTCTAAATGACCAAATCACCTCAACAACCCCTCTTCAGCCCTCTGACTAATACTTTTAGTAACTCCACATCTCCTCTTAATTTCCATACACTGAATTCTCTGCATAACATTCACACCACACACTGCCCTGAGACAGGACATCTCCACTGCCTCCAGCCACCTCGCTGCAGCATTTGCAACCCGAGCTTCACACCCATATAAGAGTGTTGGTACCACTATACTTTCATACATTCCCTTCTTTGCCTCTATGGATAACGTTTTTTGTCGCCACAGATACCTCAACACAACACTCGCCTTTTTTCCTTCATCAATTCTATGGTTACCCTCATCCTTCATAAACCCATCCGCTGACTAGGCAACTCCCAAATATGTATCTGAAAACATTCACTTCTTCCATATACCCTCTCTCCAATGTGATATCCAATTTTTCATCTAAATCAATTGACACCCTCATCATCTTACTCTTATCTATGTTTACTTTCAACTTTTTACCTTTACACACCCTCCCAAACTCATCCACTAACCTTTGCAACTTTTCTTTAGAATCTCTCATAAGCACAGTATCATCAGCAAAAAATAACTGTATCAACACACATTTTGCATTTGATTCCCCATAATTTAATCCCACACCTCCCCCAAACACCCTAGCATTTTTTTTATTATGTATTATTATTACCATCAACATACCTTGTTCACTGAGTTTATTTATTTATTAAGCTGCCACGACAGACACAGAATGTAATAATAATAATGTAATAATAATAATAATGTAATAATAATAATAATAATAATAATAATAACATTCACTCTGGAGTGCTTTAACCCTTTGACTGTCGCAACCCCCAATCCTGAGGTGTCTCCTGGCGTCGCAAAATTTAAAAAAAAAAAAAATTATTTTTTCTTATGAAATGATAGAGAATCTTTTCCTGATTGTAAAGACACCAAAAAAAAAAAAAAATTTGGTGGAAAACTGACGGAATTACGCTCTCGCGAAGTTAGCGACCTCGGCAATATTTACAAATCAGCGATTTCGCCCACTTTGAGCCCTATTTTCGGCTAATTCCATTATTCCAGTCAACCAAACTCATAGCTATTTCTTCAGAACTACATTTTTTCTATCGACTGAGTACAAGAAACTGCCCATTTACCGATTTCAACTACCCAATAACGTGGTCATAAATTTGCAATTTGGCCAATTTCACGAAAATTAAAAAATATGACAATTTCAAAATAAGGACCAGAATGAACAATGCAGACATTCCTAGCTCTAAAATAACATTTTCTTTATTCATCAGTCATGTCTCCAGGCCCCTGTGATATTACTCTTGCTTTCTATTTTGAATTTTTATTCAAACAAAAAATAGAAGATTTACTGTTATGCAGACTACTGCAATACTGTAATAATTGTATAAATAACATCAACCCATTCATGACTGCATATTAGAATGGCTATTTGGACATTTATTGGACAATGGCATCATTTGTTTACTTTTGAACATCGGCAAAAATCAAACATTTCCCATACTTTGTGCTCCATTTCCAGGTTCTTTTTATAGCAAAATCAATCAAAATCACCTCTATTTCTATAATATATTTTCCATTCTATCAAATGAGACCAAGAAAACGAGAATACAATCATAAATACTATACGAAAATAGACCACAAAGTCGGCATTTTAATTAAAAAAAAACGGTCGGAGTTTTTTTTTTCTCATTATGCACTGCATGCTCCAGGATTTTTTTTATATGGTGCACACTGACCACACAGACCCATTCTCTCACATGTGGGCCTACTAGCTTTCTCCTGCTTGATTTGAAGCCGCTAGAATTTATGAGTATACATACGTCAAACACGGTACCTCGTAAGACGTATATACACGGCCGCAACAGTCAAAGGGTTAAATGTCAGTTACCAAAACTATATGAAATACGTGACATTGAAAGCGCCCCAGAGTAATTAATTATATTTTATTATTAATTATTATTATCACCATCGACATATCTTTTTCACCGAGTTTAATCATTTCATAATTAAGCTGCCATGAGAGACCGAGAATGTAAATACAGATGAACACACCAGCTAACCCCTTTATTGTGAACTTCTTTTGTACTTCTTCCATTTTCCTATCTTTCTTCTTCCAAGTGCTGCTGCACTTTTATCTTGTACTATGGGGTGCACAATCAAGTACAGTGGACCCCCGCATAACGATCACCTCCGAATGCGACCAATTATGTAAGTGTATTTATGTAAGTGCGTTTGTACGTGTATGTTTGGGGGTCTGAAATGGACTAATCTACTTCACAATATTCCTTATGGGAACAAATTCGGTCATTACTGGCACCTGAACATACTTCTGGAGTGAAAAAATATCGTTAACCAGGGGTCCACTGTACGT